GACACCCAAACACATCTCAAGTCATTTTGATAGTTCACATGTCAAATACAACCTAAAAATCATTTTGATAGGTCAAACATGTCAAATACACCTAAAAAATATGCAAGCTCTTTCTTTGAATTTGTCCATGAAGTTTGAAAACAACTGGCCTATATTGAGATCTCAGGAAAGAGATAATTTCTTCTCTCGGTCACAATTACTTTGAATTACAAATCAACATACCACCTCACGTATTCCTTGGGAAGCCAGACATTTTTATCAACTGGAATTTCACCGTCTCTTGGAACCAAGAGGGTATTGATATACTGTCCAGGCTGCAAAAAAATTTTTAATTAAGAAAAAATTGCGTCAAGAAGAGTAGAGCTGTGAAGTGTGAAGTATAAGAATGCTCATACTACATAGATGACACGTGTCCCTAGAGTAGCCAAAAACAGTCAAATCAACTAACTCTGTGAATTCAAGTTTTATGGGATTTCTTTAGTTAAGAAAAAATAGTCCCAATGATTAAATACTGGCTCTCCGGACGAAGTCAGTTATATTGGCTACAGGTAATTTGCTGATGAAGGAATTTCGATACTTGCCAGGTTCTGTAAGCGATTACAGGGATCTCCATATGTTCGATTGAGAGCATCCGTAATGGCAGTTACAAAGCATGAAGCTGAAAAATCACTTGTCTCCCGGTCACGTGAGCCATTCAACATAAGCACCTGTCAACTTTTTCCTCAAAATATTATTAACAAACTGGCAAGTCACGGAGATTTCAATGAGCGAGACACAAATCTAATCCACCATTAGGTCGCCAAAACAAGGCACAGTGCAGTCCAAGTTCCAGTAAGGAAAGAGCTTGGATAATGCCATGGAAGTAAACAAGAACACACGCACACACACACACACACTATTTCCATCAAATAAAATAGAGTTTTATCTATCTAGCGAAGAGACGCGTGCTTCACTACAACTGTAGTTGAATTGATTGAAACAGTGCGCTCATACCATATGACGGACAGAACTTAAAATCTTGGGTTTCGTCATATTGAAAAGTAAATGTTATGGGACTTGGGACTTGCAACCATATCAAAGGAAATCAACCTATGCCCACTTTGCCCTCAATCAAACAGTGCAGTTATACCAAGGTTGGGCCACTTTGAATGAGTTGCAGTCCGGGTGATTGTTTTCCAGTGAAAAGATGAATAAAAAGTGCATCTTATGGAGACCCCAACCTCATCATCACTCTTGCCAATGAGCTTAGGAAAAGATCACAAAATACCTTTAGACAGGATCTTGAAGATATGATCTCTCCAATTCCCAGCAATACCTACAAAATTATGGGAGTCAGTACCATCTAATGGTACAATTTAATTGCCTAAAGAAAAAAATGTTGCTTCCATAAAATTACAAATTAGCTGTAATAAAATTAGATCAAAACGATTTTCTCAGAGAGCTGGAAAGTAAGTTAATCTAGTAAAATCAGATTGGGTATGACAGCCAACTCTTTAGTACATGTGTATGATTAATGCAAGAAAGTGCCTCCAATCCCACAAAATCACATAGAATAGTAGAACGTTCCACATCATTTGATGTAAAGTCAGCTGAGACTTTCTTCTTCTTTGTTTACGATGACATTATGCTCTTAACAAACTAAGAAGTCAAATTATGGCTCAATGCAATAGAACAATTAATTTCTCTTTGCAAATGCATATAAAGATCTGCAGTTACTGAAATGTATAATTATCAAACATCTGGGAAGACAAGAATTTTAGTCTTAACTGCCTCAGCAAATTGACATTATTCTTTTCCTTTATAAATCTAAACACCATGCTAGCAGCTAAATACAGTCAGTAAAATATGCAAAAACATCCATTGGTTTAAGATTTAGCATATTGAGTTTACAAGGGGAGGAAACTTTCAGGGGGGACGAGTTTCTATCATTACTACTCAGCAAGTTAAATTTTAAAATAGGTAGAAAGTTTTGGGGGAGAAAACATAGGTTCAATCATTATCATTTGCAACACCATCCGATTGTTCGAAAAGTATCATTCTACTTTTCTGTACCTAAGTTGGTAATCACCCTACCCCTTTATTTAGGGGAGAAATCCATATGATTTGGTTCACAATCACTTCTCCCCCTTGTGCATTTAAAGTGTGATTTCACTGTCTCGTGATAGAAGTCCATTAGCAACTGAAACCCTACCCTTGAAGAGCTTAAACCATCCCGCTAAAATATCTGCATACAGCTATGGTGCATTGATTCTCACAAATACTAAAGTTCCCGTAGCAAATAAAAATGTTGCTCTACTCAGTAGATAAGCATCAGACACAACTCATATCAAGATTTAATGATCACAGAGAATATCAATTAATTTTACAATATATCAAATAATACAAAAATATTGCGTTAGAACTAGAAGACACAGAATCAGGACCGTTTCAAATGAAATGAATCAGTAGGTAACCATGTCACTTCATCGAGAAGAAATACCGTATAACTGCACAACATATATACTGATAGCAAGGACCTTACCAATGAAGGGCAGATCGAAGTAAAAAGGGAACCCATAGCATAGACAATGCAATCCACATTATTCAACTGCTCTAGCACAGCAGGATTAGCAGCAGGAAAGACCTATTTAAAAATAAGAATAAAGGAAGTAATAGTTAAAAACCAGTAGTTACATTCAGAACAAAAACAAATTGACTACAATGAAAAATTGAGGAGGTCCAAATCAGTTTTTTTTCCCCACATCCAAACCAATTTCTCAAATTGGCTTCTTTTTTTTTTTTTAAAGGCTCGGTTAGATTAAAACCAAACCAAACCAAACCCAAACATAACAAGTGGCCAAAAATGAAATTGTACAGAAGATGTTAACAAGTAATGAAGCTGATCACCAATAATAACCAAAATAAAAGTCTCCTTCCATCACCCGAGATAAAATAGATACTTTATTAATATTACTCACATAATATGCAATACAAGAATATTTGATAATTGTCCATGCAAAAATAAGATAAATGATTCTATGCTTGCATCATCTATCAATCCTTTTGAGTTTACTTCTATTCCCATTCTATAGAGCAATGCATATTTTAAAAAAAAAGAAGAAGAAGAAGAAGAATCATTCACATCAAGCTCCTATATGACATTGCAAATGCTTAGACAAGACAAGCCATTAACCTCATGAAGCAAATTTTTCCCTTCACTTGACATGTAGAACACCCGCTTTATTCTTGAAGGAAGTCCTGGAGTTGAAGAGTTTTCCTGTCCATGAATGTATAAAACTTCAACAGATTAGAAGCATCCAATACAAATGCCAAGAACCAGTAGCACATACAAAAACTTCATAATTTTACTTATAGAGAAAGAAATTATTGTGTGATAGAAGTCAATCAGCGGCTGGATAACATATATAATATATTTCAGCAAAGCTCCCTTTCTACCAAAAGAAGTTCAACCAAGATGCTGTAAGACAGTAAGAGTTAGCATCTTATCACAGATAAGACACTAACACACCTTTTTAACAGGCTCCATGGATCCACTGGTCGGATGAGAAATTTCATTTTGTCCCCGTATAATGGTACCGTCCTATAATATGATTGAAACAAGTTGTGAGATGATGTACTGGATTAAAAAAGGAGTGAAACTCACCATTGAGAAATTTTAGATCAATTGCTTTTATAATGAAAAATAAATATACACCTAGAATACAAACTCCATGGAACCATATCATGGTTACAATGTTAATCAGTTATAGAACCATCAACCATACCCATAATTCACATCCTAATGTAAGCCTATCATTGGTTGAAATCACCGGTAAGACCAGGCTATCAGAAGGAATCTCTGATACACGTGAAACAGAAATATTGCAGCATCCAAGGACTGAAAAAATATGCGTGCTCCTGCAAAAAAGAAATTCCCAATGCTGCAAGGTTTATAAGATGTCAGTAAAGTTGTTAAACAATTAGACCCTTAAATTCACTCTATTAAACTAAAATCAGGATGAAGTAGCAGATAAAAGACCTGCCATTGCTGAAACAAAATGATTCATCGGATCGGCGAATAATCTGTACAAAGACAAAGAAAGGCCACGTGTTATGCCAAAATATTGAAAGAGCATAAAAGAGGCAAGCAACTTGGAAAAACGATAATAGGAAAAGTAGTAGCAATATTTATAACAACAACATTATGATGGTGATGACGAAAATGACAGCATACTAAAGGGCAAAATACCAGAAAGATAGCAATATTGATAAAAATAATATTTGTAGTGATAAATAATTTAGAACAACTCAGAGAAACAGTAGCCCCTTGCTAACCAAAAATTTAAAAAAAAAAAATCATGGAGAAAAAGAGGTTGAAATTGACAATGTGAATCGAGAGTTCATCATCTAGAAAGAAATTATATGTACGCAGTATTTCGCTAATAGCCAGAGAAGAGAGAGAAAAAATAGTTATGAAAAAAAGGTTGTTTATTGACAGAATGAGAAATCCAATAAAAAAGCATCAGTTTGCACACAGAGGTCACCTGATTCTGGAAATAGGCCAGAAAGGCACGAATAGTCTCCCTGTAGGGTTTTGACACACCTTTCCATAGAGAGTGATCACCCTCCACAATAGAGTACCTACAACATGAAACTCAGCTAACTGCTAAACCAAGAGTATTACACAACAATAACATATAGCAAATCACACAAGGGGAGTGAAGAAAACATTCAAAATAATTTTCCCCATTAAATTAAGACATATGACCAGTTGGCACAAGGGATCACGTCCCATAGATAGAAAGCACAAGTTAGTAGTTATAGTTCCATCAAAACTAGAGGAAAGACAGACAGCACTAATCAATGACTCACACAAATAAACACAAATGATTGAAGAAGAAGATGATATACTAAGACGTTATATAATTGCAGCAGAAGTGGAGGAAGGGAGAGATGAAAATGTCAGAGATTTGTTGACTATAGGGAAGTAGACTAAGACTGACATCCTCCCAAGGCAGAAGTTATAAAGTGATAAGGCCTTGAGTTATGCAAATATAACTATTTCAGCCTTTTCTTTTTAGCTTGAATTCTGAAAAATATTTCTGAAAGGATCAAGATTTATATTCCAAGTTTTGTTTTTTTTACATACCAACACCAATTGGGAAAACCTATTATTTATATTTCAAGTATTACATCGGAGTAAATCTGAATGACAGCTCCAATGGAGTATAGAATTGTGAGCATGGAAATATAATAGATGTAACATTAAAGTGGCACCACTCTGATTTTGCCGAAGGAAAAAAAAATATTATTCACAGCAGGAAGGAGGCTTTTCACGGCATCAATAAAGGGGTACCATTCTGATTTAGCGTGATGTGGATCAAGTGATAGACGATGACCAAGCAATCTGCGAATTGCAAGAGCCTCCGCCGTACTTCGATTAGACAATCTCAGACACCTGGATCGTATGTCCCCAACAGCAGGACCACCTGTAAATTATCCCATCATGGAATCATATTTCTAATTTCTATTTCCAGTAAGCTCAAAAATAACAAATTTCTCAAAGCCAAATATCCACTGGCAAGCCCCCGGGAAGATAAGATCAAAATTTCGCAGACATTCACCATCAAATGATCTTGCGAGAAGTAAAAATAGTTACCAAGGACACGGACAATTTCAGCCGTACTTCCACCATCATCAGAAACGGGGAGAACATGAGCCACACGAGTGGTGAAGTTCTGAAGCTCTTCCGCCACGCCATTGAACGCCGTCCCACCTACGCATCGAACTCCGAAAAGCGCTTAGATTTCCACATCAACACAATAAAAGAAGACAAGAAAACAGACGGTATTGAGCGAATGAAACTATCAGGTACCCGAAAATACGAGCAATGCGGGTTGCGGGTGAGTAGGGTTAGCATCCGAGGAACAACGACATTGGCGATGCTGAGAAGGAAATGAAGCCATAGCGGAGGAAAAGGTTGAAGTGGGAGAAGACGGGGAAGGTAGTCTGGGGTACGGGAAGGGGAAGGTCTTCCACCATGTGGGACCCAACCAACTGTCGGCCATATTCCCGCGTCTTCGGCAAACCGATTTTAGTTCCACTGACACTGTGAGCTGCCTTTTTCCTTATCCTCCCGTTAATGTTGTACCTCGGACTCCACATCCGTCATCGCGTCCGCGTTATTTACCTGGTTTTCCAATAAATTTTCCTACCGACAGGATACTGGTGCTATATTTGGCGTTTAAATTCGATCACTTCTTTTTAATTTTGCTGGATAAAATTTGAAACGAGCAGTCTTAATTTTAAAATGTGTTTAGTTCTTAAATTTTAAACCAATATTTTAGCATTTTAAATTTAATTTTATGTTAGTCTGATTTAATTTTTTTTAATTCTTACAACAAGACTAACCATTTAAATTTTAGAAACTAGAACTATTTGTTTCAAATTTTTAAATTAAAATAAAAACTAAAAATATTTGTTTTAAATTTTTAAATTAAAATAAAAATTAGAGTCAAATTTCAGAAACTAAAAATTATTAATCCTAAAAATTAATTGTGAACTAATTTTCCTTAAGAAATTAGACAAGGATTTCTGGGGTGATCTTTGCTCCCCACATGATTCACAAGGATTTTTGGGTTATTATCTGTAAGTTACTTTTACTACTCCATTTGTGATATCTTTTTAATTAAATTGTACGGTTTAAAAAAACAATTAAAACTAGTTAAAAGTAATTAATATGTAGCAAATACAGTTTTTTTTCAAATATAACTCTATATATAAATGGATAAATGTAAGAGAGTAATAATGAGATAAATGAAGAAAGAAAATGTATTAAATACATTAAATTATGAGTAAAATAAATAATACTACATTAAATGTTCAGATAAACTAAAAAAGGATCTTAAAAAAAAAAAACCTATTTAAAAAATTAAATCTTATAATAAGAGACGGAAAGAGTATTATTTTGACCATAATAGGAGGCATAAAAATAAACCGAACATTTGATAAGTTAAGAGAGTTATAATCGAAAAACATAGACCACCTTATAAATGAGCTATAATACATGCGGATGCACAAAAAATATGAAACATAAAATAAACATCTCATATGATGCCTTATAAAAATATTAGGGAAAAAGACAAAAAAATGGCACTTAAACTTTATAATGCCCAAATGGTCTGCTGAATTTGAGAAATCCCAATTTGGTCTCCAAAGACCAAATTAGGATTATCATGTTAAAAGAAAATACCAAATTGCTTTTTATTCTATTTATTATTTTTAAAATACGAAAACCCCTACTAGCCTGCCGGAGCTCCGACAATTAGAAATAATTTTTTTGAAAATTTTTACAACTTCAGTATAACGGTTAACAACTTTTATAATGCTATTAATAACTTTAATATAGCAGTTAACAACAGGTTTTCTGAGAAATTCAACAAGCTTTAGCGGCCGAAAAATTTTTTTTTTAAATTTTTATAACTTCAGTATAACGGTTAACAACTTTTGTAACGCTATTAACAACTTCAGTATAGTAATTAGCAATAAGTTTTCTGAAAAATTCAACAAGCTCCAGTGGCCGAAAACAATTTTTTTAAAAATTTGTACAACTTCAATATAACGGTTAACAACTTTTACAACGCTATTAACAACCTCAGTATAACAGTTAACAACAGGTTTTCTGGGAAGTTCAACAAGCTCTAGCGGCCGAAAACAATTATTTTGAAAATCTTTACAATTTCAGTATAATAGTTAACAACTTTTGTGATGCTATTAACAATTTCAGTATAGCAGTTAACAACAGCTTTTTCGGGAAATTCAATAATTGGTCGCCGAAGCTCCAGCAGCCAGAAACAATTTTTAAAAAAATTTTACAATGTCAATATAACGGTTAACAACTTTTGTAACACTGTCAACAACAGGTTTTTTGAGAAATACAAAAAGTAGTATTTTTATAATTTCAATAATGCCATTAACAAGTTTTATAACTTTATTAACAGTTTTGATATAGCATTTAATAACAGGTTTTCTTACAAATTCAAAAAAATGACATTTTTATAGCTTTAACAACTACTTTTTTTTTTAAAATTTTTACAATTTTAGTAGAACAGTTAACAATTTCTGTAACTCTATTAACAACTTTGATATAGCAGTTAACAACAGGTTTTCAGAAAATTCAAAAAGTAGCATTTTACAACTTCATTAATGCCGTTAACAAACTCAAAAACCTGTTGTTAACCTCTATACTGAAGTTGTTAATAGAGTTACAAAAGTTGTTAACCGTTATACTAAAGTTGTAAAAAATTTCAAAAAATTGTTTTCAGCCATTGGAGGTCCGGCGACCAATTATTGAATTTCCTGAAAAACCTATTATTAACTGATATATTGAAATTGTTAATAACGTTATAAAAGTTGTTAACGGTTATATTGAAGTTGTAAAAATTTTCAAAAAAATTGTTTTCGGCCACCAGAGCTTGTTGAATTTCCTACAAAACCTGTTGTTAACTGCTATACTGATATTGTTAATAGCGTTACAAAAGTTGCTAACCTTTATACTAAAGTTGTAAAAATTTTCAAAAAAATTGTTTTCGGCTATTATAGCTTGTTAAGTTTCTCAGAAAACGTGTTGTTAACTACTATACTGAAATTGTTAATAATATTGCAAAAGTTGTTAACCATTATACTGACGTTGTAAAAATTTTCAAAAAAATTATTTCCGACTATCGGAACTCCGGTGACTGTTGCCACCAGAGCTTTGGCGAACGACTGGCCAGCTAGTGGGAGTTTTGGTATTTTAAAAATAATAAATAAAATGAAGGACAATTTAGTCTTTTCCTTTAACATGATAATCTCAATTTGGCCTTTTCTTTTAACATGATAATCTCAATTTGGTCTTTTGAGACCAAATTAAGATTTCTTAAATTTAGCATACCATTTGGACATTATGAAATTCAAATGTTATTTTTCTGTCTTTTTTCCAAAATAATATAAGAAAGAATCTTTTATTTAAGTAACTTATAAAAATGATAAGAGGAATGATATAGCTGTACTATTATCTATATTTGTTATTTTTTAAATAAAAAGGCAATTCTATATTCGTTATCTATATTTGTTATTCGTCTCAACTTTCAAAGAAAAAAGGGGCGCAAGTCTTTGAATCTTTAGAATACGGTTGGCAAAAAAAAAAAAATCCTTAAAATATGATCTTCATTTTTAATATAAGATTTTGTTTGATTTTTATTTTGATCCTAAATATAAGATCCTAATTTATTTTATCTTTTTTATTTATTCATCCTTTTTAAAGATAATCATTCTAATAACAGTAGTTCTGACTAATAAACTTGATTAGCAAAAATATTTTAGGAAAAACAATACATGTTTATTATAAATAACTAATTTAATTTATTTTTTATTTACTCAAATTAGTTAACTAATTTTTATATATATTTTTTAGTTGCCCCATTCAATTCACCAACTACATCTAAATACGACCCGCGTCGTGCACCTGACTGCATACGTTGAGGCTCGAACTCGAGACCTCACTTAAGCGATACCAAACCGCTTACCACTTAAACCAACCCTGTTGATAACTAATTTTTATATTTAAAATAGGAGGTAGTACAAATTATGGATATACTAATACAAATGACTTTAATTATTGGCAACTGATGATTATTGGTCTTAATTTAATTTATAACCGGGCTGACCCGAATCACGCCTTGCCGATCGGGTGTTAGGGTTTATATATTCCTCCCTCCACGCTGAAGGTATCCTCTAAATTCTTCCCTGCCAAACAGGAATCCCTAATCTGCAAAGCCTGACCGAAGTCTTTTTGCCATGGATTTCTCCAAGAAGCGCAAAGCCGAGGAGAACGGAATCGACGATTCTGTGCCCTCAACAACCCCGCTTGGTGCAGATGACATCCGCAAGATCCTCCAACCCTTCAATCAAGAACAGCTTATCGACCTGCTTCTTTCAGCTGCTCTTCATCACCCTGACGTTCTTGAGTCTATACGTTCCGTCGCCGACCGTGATTCCACCCTTCGGAAACTCTTTGTTCGGGGGCTTGCAGGGGAAACCACCACGGAGACACTTAGCAGTGTTTTCTCCTCCTTTGGGGTGCTCGATGAGGCGATTGTTATCTTCGACAAAACGACCGGGAAGTCCAAAGGATACGGCTTTGTGACGTTTAAACACGTTGATGGTGCTATATTGGCTTTGAAAGAGCCCAGTAAGAAAATTGACGGGAGAATGACGGTGACCCAGCTTGCAGCTTCTGGATTGTCGGCCAGTCAAGGGACTAATGCGGCTGCCGCAGCTGCAAGTGATGTTTCTGCCCGAAAAATTTTTGTGGGCAATGTACCGTTTGATATTTCGTCGGAGAGGCTGTTGAGTTACTTTTTGGCTTATGGGGAAATCGAAGAAGGGCCTCTTGGGTTTGACAAAGCTAACGGAAAGTCCAAAGGTTTTGCGTTCTTTGTGTACAAAACGGAGGAGGGTGCTAGGGCGTCTCTAGTTGAGCCAGTCAAGACTATTGATGGGCACCAAGTGCTTTGTAAATTGGCCATGGATAACAAGAAGGGGAAATCAGGAGGAGCTCCTAACCAGGGCCCTGCTGGGTTACCAGGTAATGGCATGGCAGCACAACAGCCGCAACCATCTTTACCTGGCCCTATGATGGGATCAAACTATGGGGGTCATGGCCCTTCATATGGGGGATTTGGTGGTGCGCATCAGGGCCCTATGGCTATGCCTAGTAATAATTATGGATTGCAGTCTTCATTGCCGCCGTATGGGACGCAGGTTCCATCTACCTTAACTCCTAATAGCGGTGGGGGGTACGGTCCCGGTATTGGAGGGGCTTATAGTGGCTCTCAGTTCAGTGGGCCTACTTCTGGTGATTATGGCGCTAGGCTGCCTTCATCCTCTGCTGGAATGCCGACCGGAGGATATCCAGATGGTTCGCATTATAATTTGCCCTCATCTGCTGTTCCCTCTCAGCATCAACAGCCCATGCAAATGCCAAGGATGGCCCCAGGAGGAATGTACCAAGGCATGCCGCCATACTACTGAGGTAATATTGCATTTGATTTTTCAATTGTTGTTGTTTATTGCTTTAATACGTGCCCTTGATGTGGTTTGCTTTTTTTATTTTGGTTAATAGAACTACCGATCCGTGCCTTTATATGGATTTGCTTTTTCTTGTTTTCATAATTTCATTTTGAACTTCTATTTGTATACCATCCTAACCTTGGTAACTTTAAAGTTTTGCTTTATTTTTGTTATTAAATCCTCATCGTTTCGTTGAAAAAATGTTTTTCTTTTGCTATTTCGATTGGTGTACACGAAACAAATCTTCGACTGTTGTTACTCTCCAATTTTGAATGCTCGCTATTAAATATATGGGGACATTTTGGTGCTATCTTAGGATTTTTTACCTTTTGAATCATAACAAATAGAGTATAGGCTTAATATCAACTGGCCATCTGTGATCATGAAGCTGCACCATAATTTTTATGAAATATGATGAGTAGAAAGAAAAATATGTATATTAATTATTTCCTTTGTATGTGAAATTGTTTTGATGGTGACTTCTTTGGTTCTTCCGTCTGTGCACGCTCCCTATCTTTTTTGGCATGACTCGTAACCTTGGTTTCAATTTGTCAATTTCCCAATCTATTAGTATCGTGTGGTTAATTGACTTTTTTCCTTTGGGGTTTTGTATGATTGGACTTGGAATATAAGAGAAGATAAAGGAAGAAAGAATTTTTGAGACTTAATGGAGTTTTGGAAGGAAAGGAATGGATCAGATTCCTTCTGCTGCCCCAGCACAATTTCACACACGCACGCTTCATGCACGCAGATATTTGGATGAACCTAATCCTATCATGAATAGTAATATTTGTTTCCTTCCACTAAACTTGAGATCTTTCTTTCATTTGGCTTTCCAAAAGGAGAGTTTATGTTGCTCTGTCAGAAGGACTAATTATTCTCTTTCATTTTTTAATTCTAGAAATTGCATGCACATATGAATAATCTGCATAATGGCTATATATGGAAATTATTTAGTTCTACAGAGTACAGTCTTCAGACTCAAGTGGATACGACAAAATGACATGTAGCGTTATGCTTATTTATTTGATGATTCTGCTATGTGCTTCTGAGTAATAATTGTTACTTTTTATAGCTCGCCCTTAGTTTTTAAAATGTTAATTCCTGGTTTGAGTTTTGAATGGGTGTTTGATTCAGGTTTGTGATGGCTTCTTGGGCGCTTATGCTTTAAATGGTTATGCTGATTTCGTGAATCCAGACAATGAATACTTTGGTTTTGATTACATGGACTGCTGTGAATTTGTTGCTGCTTCACTACCTCTGCTTCTATGTGTTGTTCCTATTTGTGATAGGTTTTAGTGAAAGCTTACATGAGTTTGCTTAGTATTTGAATGTAGTATTCATATGAAGATTTGTAGAACGTTTTATTGGATGATTTTCGTCTAAATAGGGTTTTAAATTATTCAATAGATACAAAGGTGCTTATGCCTCCTGCATGAAAAAAAAAGGTGTTCACCTTGAACTTTGATGCATCTTTAGCCGTTGATCATTTTACTCTGTATCTCTGGTCATTATGTGGCTACTGAGCATTTGTTTCACTATCTGGGGTTTGTATTCTTGAGCATTTCTTGAAATATCCTTGTAATCGATCTTTAAATTCTCGAGTCTTGAGGGCGTAAATCAGTTGAGGCAAGCCTTTTGAGACTATGCATATTATCTTAGGTCTGTTATTGATTTGGCACTCAGACTTAGACTTGTTTAAAAATTGCCTACCTTGAGTATTATTCTTATTCTTATTTGATGAAGGATTCGCTGAAACTTGATCTGGCAATGTCTATGTTGAATTTATTTTTTTTGGGGTAAATCTTAATTTATTTTTAAGAAAAAAAAACTACACCATATTTTTGCGGTCAAGGACAGTATTTTCTGACCATAAAAGTGATAAATATGTTTATATGAACTTAAGATGATGGATATGAATTATATTTTTGGAATTTTGAAAAGTCCAAACGAGCTTATTTTGTCCTCGAATAGCCTGTGAGTCTAATAATTTGGAATCAACTTGTTTAGTATACAAGTTTAGTCAAGCTGACATCAAGGGGCTGTATGCAAGCAGTTTATTCAACTGTTGAATAATGTTTTGATTGTCCTTGCATTAAAGGAAAACCACATTTCATTTGGTACCCTTGATTGTTAGGCTCAGCCCATTTGATCCTCAAGAGGCAAAAAGCTTAAAAAGGAATGAAAATTAATGAGGGTAAAGGAAAGAATGAGCATGTTCACGTAGACAATAAGTGCTACCTTTTTCCTTATCAACTTCGCTAGTATCAGAGGATATACAATACAAATTGCACTATTTGGTGTGATTTTGGCACAATACAGATTGCTGATTTAATTAAAATTCGCAGAATCACATCTGTGTGATTCGGATTATTTATATATACTTATTCCTGTTGAACCACTTCATTCCTTGAGACCTTAACATGCTGTTGAGCTGCTGTTTCCTGTGACGGGTAAATTTTAATCTCATTCCCATCTGCACAGGTCAAATGACTTATGCACTGCTTGTTCTCTTTATTTCTTTCTTTCTTCTTCTTGGCGCAGAAAAAATCAGGGTATGTAAAAGCCTGTTAGTATTGAAAGTCTCATTTTAACTCCATTCATCCCTCTGCCGCTAAACAGGTATTGCCTGTGACACTGTATTTTTCTAGGAGAGTTCCCCTCTCCCTAGTTATTAATGAGTCTTTGTCAAAAATGCGGCCGGCTTCAAGCTTCAAAGTTATTGATACCATATTGAAATGTTGCCAGTGATATCAAAAACCTTGGTTAAAATTTTCTACGTGAGTGTCATGCTGTCACTCTTGTGTGATGGATGTGTCCATCATTTACAGTAAGTTTTTGGGCTTTTGTCAATTTTTACCTGTTCTTCTGGAGCAATGTACATGTATATGATTTTGACAGCTATGCATTACAATATTCTATTACATCTTCACCCTGTTAGAGGTTAACAGATAAGCAAAAGACATGAATGAACTTTCTAAAAGATAGATTTTTGTTTTGGGAAAACTCTGAATTGATTCCATTCTCTTGTGCACAGCTAAAGAATAAACAACATTCTTTTGTATATTTGGATGTTCCTCGTCTGTCTTTTTAATTATTCTGCGCCAACCCTCCTTTTGAGCCGGCTGTTTGTTTAGCGTGCTTCTATAGATCAATGCCTAAGTCCCGATGTGGCTATTATGTTTTTATTTCTGAGTCTGATGTGCTTCACTGAGAGCAATATTTTTATATTCTTTTCTAATCTTTTGTCTCAGTATGCATGCCTTTTCTTTTAGTTAGATTCTTATTGTTTGATCACTTAAATTTAGTGCATTTAAGTTGTTTAGATTCTGTTTTGTAGTTTGGGACAGTGTGAGCTTCTGGTATTTTTAATATAGAGCAAAACTTCTGATCGAAATGAGCATGGCTATCAAACACCTGGAATTAAGATTTTGGCTCTCTTTTAGCAAGTGCTCTCTCTGAATTCTAAACATGTTGAATTCCTCCTTTTAACTACCCTGGAAATACCTTTTGCATTTCGTGTTGTGGTGTTCTTTCATGCTTAAAACTGCTCAGTGTGAAATTTACTGATCTATTAACATGGAAAAGCACTAATTAATGCTGTTTTGAGTTTATTTTGGGTAATGCATGTTTAACAGTGCTTGTTATTTCCTTGAACTTTTCATGTCTGCTAAACCTCATTGGCGGCCTTAACTACTGCTGTAACTAATGATTTTTGAGGTGGTTTCCGCGTCCCGTTTTGATCCGATGTCATTCAGCCTACATCAAATTCCCATGTAGTCTTTCGGGATTTGGACTCAGGATGCCAGTGGCCGCGAGTTGCTTAGTGCAGTAGACGGGGCCATGTGTTGTATCGTTCTCTAGCGTGAGACTATTTGTAATGATTTTAGAGTGAACTAGGAATACTTGACTTTAAAAATGGATTGCCCATATTACATGTTATACATTTTTGTACAAGGTTACACTTCATGAGTTGACCCTCTTTGACCCTCTAAATCATCGAAATTTGATCTGTCTGTGTTTGGGCATAAAGATTATTGATGAGGAGTGTGAAATTCTGCTTGCGCCTTATTCTGGGGGGAAAAATGAGGAGTGTTATCGTATGAACTGGTCATGAGATGTGGGCCATGTGACTCCTGCCGTGGAACTCGGTACTAGATCGGCCATGTTCGTTCTAACGTGAAAGCTCCGGTTTGCGTTTAAGTGACATGTCTTTTGCCTTGTTAAAAAGGAGGACATATCAAGTTTTCCTTTAGACATGGCCGCTAGATGAACTGAAGATGTGCAAGAAATGTGATATTTCTTCCATTGTCAATCATTCTGTAAATTTCTGGCCCGTCAATGGCTGCTGGTGAAGGCACAGCACAGATCCGGGAATTCTAATATTAAAGAGGAAAAAATTAAGGCACTCAAAAAAAAAAAAAAAAAGAGAGAGAGAGAGAACACATTTAATAAGGCAAACTCTTGGAACTTGTGCTGATAACCAATGATTTCAACCTAGTTGGATCCCCGGGGGTGCTGGCTCTCTGAGTAATAATTTCCATGTTCCTATGCAAACTCTGTTTCACCAAGCTCTTCATCATTCTCTTGCCCTCTTTTGCTTCTATGTGGTCTGCTGGTGAGCCCATCGCCATTCTTGGTGTTTGTGGCCCAGAATGTGGCCCCATCTTTGATTGCCTCTCATCCTTGAACCATTGCAGTAGCTTTAGTGCTCTCTTCTGTGCTAATTGGCTTCCCAACAGAGCTACTTCAAGTAGCACAGGGACAATCCCTGCTTGTGCCATCTTCTGTGTTTGTGATGAGCTCTGGTGAGCTAGAATCATCAGAATGTAAGCTGACAACTCCTGGCATTTTGGTTTATCTTCCCATGTCAAAATCTCTATCAAGCTCTCAGGCATCATTAAGCTATTTTCTATTGCCTTTTTTCCCATCAAGGTCACCACCAAGTTTCCCAAAGTAGCAAGTGCTTTCTCTGAATTTTCTTTGATAGAGGACAGTTCTAAGAGGATAGGCACAACCCCAGCTGAAACTAAAGGCCCTACATTCTCTAACACGGTTGAGAGGTTGCACAAAGCACCCAGGCATGATTGCTTGGTTTCAACATTTGGATCTGATTCCAGAATGTCTTTAATGAATGGGAGAAAATCTAATGAAGCAAGAGGGAATTGGCTGTTTGCTAGAGATGACAATGATAAGAGCAGCTCTGCACATTCCCTTCTTGTTGATTCATCAAGGTCAACTCTCTTTGGCAGCTTGGAGAATATACCTGCCTCCACTATCAAAGCCTTGTTTCTGAAAGAGGAACAAACTTAATTAGGACAAGAAGCAAACCATACTTCAGGCTTTGTCAAAGTTAGGCTGAAAGCTTGTACTGAATAATTAATGTGTACTGAGTCAGCATAAGAAGTCAACTATTCAATGTTCTGCCGTCATTATTTCTTTTCTTTTGTGGGGATGATGTAATTTACATATTAAAGAAATAAGAATGCCAAACTAACTAGAGAGTATCAACACTTCTTGCATAAAGAAGTCAATGACGATCTCAAATAAAGATATGTGTTGGAAAGTGCACGTCAACATAAGACTTTTAAAATGAGGCTGAAGACATTGGCGGAATCTGAATAACTATCCTGGATTTTAGTAATCTGTTGTTTATACATTGTGAAGACAAAAATGTCTCCCCAGTAGCGATACTGTTCCCTTGTAAGCTCGTCCTACAACCCAGCAACATAGTGGACAACGAAGCACAAATTTGGAGAATTAATTATAATTACGTTATTTTAATGAATATGCACGTTTTAGGAAGGTGATCCGAAAACACTGGCCACGTTTGTATTCTTGGATTTAACGCCATTAATGCAAGCCTTGATTGCTTTGATAACTCTCGTAATTTTACAGCATGTATTGCAAGAAGCCTCATACGCACTGTCTTACTGTTTTTTTTTTTTTTTCTTTTTTGATTTCGAAAAATGGGATTTCGGGATGTTTTCTCATTTTTCCATCTCATGCTCCCTCTGTTCCTTTTTACAAAAAATAATTAATCACATTATGTTTTCAAAATGTTAGTTAAAATTAATTGGAGACAACAAATATGTAAAAATAATAATAATAAAATTTGATCAATATGAGTAATTAAAGAGGGATAAAATGAAAAATCAACAAACAAAATTTGAAATAACATCAAAATATCTCTTATAAAAAGCAACATGTCAAACAATATTGGGAAAAAAAGGTGTGTTCAAATTTGAGAAGAAAACTTCATGCATTCTCTGCGTGATTCCAAGAATCAATTGTTGTTAGAGCTTCAACCCCTCAAAAATTTCAGGAGAAAAGGCTTTGAGAAACTAGTACCTCCTTTGATACCTTTATACTACAAGAATACTGCAGAATATGTTTTCCGTAGGGGAATCAACTCAACCAATAACATCAAAGAATTTCTAAAGAATCAACCAACTGAATTTACCAATTTCCTATCAAATTTACTTGTTTCCTGTTTGAATCAAATAACGAAGTCTTGAGGAAATCCAAAGCTCAAACAAAAGCAGAAAGTTTTATCATAGAAGCAGGAGAGAACTAAAATCGCAAAACGTACTTGTAACTTCCATGGGCGAGCTGGACCAATGCCTTCAGCCCTGCTAGCTGCCGGCCAGCCACCTCCGACGCCACCATTGACACCAGCTCCGGCACCACTCCTAGCTCCGTTATCAGCTTTCTTACCCTGACATCTTCTTTGGCTAGGCGTTCAATCTCTTTCGCCGTCATCTCCTTCTCTTCCCAGCTCCCAAAGTGAAGCTTCTTCACGCAACTCTTCAACGATATCACAGACTGTTCCTCCTCACAACTCTGTTTCTCCATAGCTTGCCTCGCTGATTCACAATTCTCAACCTTGTCGATGTTGCTCTCGGATTTGGTAATTGATATTTCGAGTTGATCAGATGGATCAGAGCTTACTCGGGTCGCTTTGGGTTTGAGAAACCTTTTGATGCGAGCAAGGATATGAAGTGTTATGGAAGAGAGTACCCCATTAGAGGAAGATGAAGGAGTAGACGACATGTTTGGTTCGTCAGAGGAAGACACGCACTAGGAGACTCTGAAAACTGTCCTGGGTTTGTTTCCTTATATAATTCGGTTTCTACTTGTCTTTTGTAAGGCACAGAGAGAGAAAGAAAAGCAAAGAAATTACGGAAGGACTCTGTATAAAACAGGGGAAGAACAGAGCCAAAGCAAAGGGACAGTGCTGTCCCGGTTTAATCTCATGGGTATTAAATGCACGAGATCTCAAATGGCGTATTTATTGTCCCATTATGATTTAATCTTATTATTGTTTATTTATTTTAATAGGAAAAAAATACTATTTGGCTTAATATCACTAACAGTGAGTCTATCTCTTTGCCCGTGCAACACAATTCCAAGATCACTAGTCTTTAAATTATGAGTGGGTTGATATAAGTGGGACCTACTCTTCCGTTTTCACCAATTCAATTTGAGAACCTTCTCGCCTCCGTAAGTTGACTATCAATGGAGGATTACTATCGTAATTCATTAAATTAGGGATTTAATCATAATTTGGTTTGAGAATAAATTGTTAATTACCTGCGTACATCTGTGATCTCCTGCATGTGGGAATCAAGGAGGCCCAGTGTACTTGTTCCCCCAAGGAATAATAAATTTCAGGAAGGGCCTACGTGTCAATCACTTGGCAAACTAAATTGACATCATTCAAATTCTTAATTGGCTGCAAAATCTCATTTGAATGAGTGGCTACGATATTCTCACATGCATGTCAGATTGGTTCTGTCAAGTTTTCCCCAGAATAAGAGCGAGGCAGAGACCCAATTATCTATGACAGTTTCAGTGACCTCTTTCCCAATAAAGAACTTTAATGTAAATCCTTAATCTCCTGTGTTGTAGATGTATCATTGAGATTTGAGCTGGGAGATTCCAAAAAGCAAATGTGTGGTGAAATAGCACTAGATGGTTAAAACTGAAGAAGTCAGATAAGGCATTTGAATTTTGGTATGTTGGTACACTTAATTAATAGCTTTAGTGTGGGTAAAGTTAGTGCAACATGCATAGTTACATGTGATCAATTTTGACCCAAAGAAGAGAGTCAGCAAGGTAACATAGAATACAACTTTGGAACAACTTTAGGCAGACTTCCATTGGGACACAAATATGGTTAGGACTATACCAAATTAGATTCTCTATGCAATCTTAACTATACTTGTGTATTTGAAGAGAAATTCACATAAAACATGGAGACAAAGAGTCATTTAATGTCTCTCTCACGGCAGCAGTGTGTTCAGATTGAAGAATATAGGTTTTATTTCTGTAAGTTGCAAGCACAGAATATTCTTAACATTATGAAGAAGCTAAGAAGGAGACTCCAACGCCTTTTTTTTCCTTTTCTTTTTTCACTTAAATTCACCACTCTTGGTAGATGTTCCACAATCTAATGGACCTTGGTTTTCTCATCACCCTGCTATTTTCATGACATAAAGTAGGTCTATTCTTTCCGTAAAACAACTTTACAAAATTTATCATGTGTCTTGCTTACCTTCATTTTAACCTCTCCTCTTTTCTATGGAATCCCGCAGTAGTTAACCTAACACAAATTGCTCTTTGTTTCTCATTTTGTCATGAGAAAATGACGAGTAGAAAAGTGATACATAAGAATCCCTAGTGTGAAGCCAACTGAAAGGAAAGTTACGGAGGAAAATGCTTTCGTTTTACACACTTTCTAAGTACTCAAGTCCATAAACAAAATACCCCAAATTTGCATATTCTTATTTAGTTACTCAAATCTCTTACTGCTAAACACAACCAAAAAAAAAAAACACAACACATCTTTTTAATAACAAGAAAAAAAAATTTCCTTGAGTTCCCAGCGCCTAATGTTCCAAACCGGACCACAGTATCTAAATCCCAAAATTAGATAAGCTTGAGGACAAGCAAGACGAAGAAGAGAGAAAGTCTGAAAGAAAGGGAAAGAAGAGAAGAACATGTCTTTGTCCATAGCAGAATAGAGTGGTGAAGTGCCGAATATTAGTTATGGCTATGAATGCCGTCTAACTAATATGGTGCCATATAGGCATATTCATTCCCAGGAAAAACCTTGAACAGTTATGCGTTTGAGACACGTGGGGATAATGGGGCTGTGGAAATTAGAATGGGCATTCCACTAAGTGAAAAAAATAGTTATCTGTAGCAGAAGACTGAAACTCCACAGTAGAGTCTAATTGCAGTGGCAGCAAAAGAGATAGACAAGTTGATAGGGTGATGAAATGTGTATTGTTGGACTTAGTCGCACTTTGGCGTGATGATGGATTTTGAGACTAAGAAAGATGAAAAGTGCACAAGAACCACTAAGGTGGTGATGGGTGGATATGTCCACTTTGGAGCATCAGCTTGCATATTCATGAGAAAGTTCAAGTCAAGAGGGTTTTCTCCTTAAAAGCTTCTTCACAGGTCGAAGTGCGTAGACTGGACTGGCGGCCGCAGGACGTTACGGCTGAAGAACAAGTACAGATGGAAAAAGTGACAAGGGAAATGCACCAGCCGGGAATCGAACCCGGGTCTGTACCGTGGCAGGGTACTATTCTACCACTAGACCACTGGTGCCGGGATGCCAGCTAGGGTGCATGTTCTATCCTTACCAATTTATTTTGTTAATCCTACTATATCCTATTATGAGGAAACCTAAGGTGTTTACAATCCGTAATGTAAAATTAATTTTCAAGAAACAGCAATATAAAATTTCACAGATCTTAGATATAATACTACAACAATTTGTGTTATTACGAGTTAAAAATAGTACAAATTATTTTTCAAATTCTATATCAAACATTAAATCTATTTTGACTGCAACTTTAAAAAAATAACTTCTCAAAAGTGGTACAAGAATTGAAAGGCTATTTTTTTTCAATAGTTGGATATATCTATTTCACATTATATCCAGAAACTCAAAAAAAAAAAACCTAATAGGGCCAACTCAATTCTATTTGCAAAGTGATTGTGGATCCTCTATTGTGCAACGTTTATGTTAAGCAAGAAAGCTAATGTGTTTAAAAATATTAGATATAATAAAGAACAAGGAAAAGAAATTCTATTCTCCTTACAAACTATTCTCCCTACAAACAAAAGTTGGGTCTAGTAGAATAGACTAGTGTCTTACAATATAACGAATCAAGATTTAAATTCCTATTAAAAGATATGTTTACATTTAGTATCCGACAGTATCTTAAATAAGATTACTTTCAATAGAAATAAATAAACGTGCGACTTCTAGGCTTTGGCAGAGAGCTATTGGATTGTAGGAGTAATCCGAATCCCATGATAATGAGGGAACTTGAGATAAAGTTTGAGGAAGGGCTATAGCGCAGTTAGATCAAACTTGGACAAAATTTTGATGCCCATGAGATTAGTATCATAAAGCATAGAACGTTAAGCGGCTTAAGGACGTGCAAATTCAATTTCTTCAAGCTTTAAACTGTAAGTAATGTGCAAATACATTCACGCATATTTCTCACACAAATAACTTACAAAACAAATAATAATTCCCATTAGTTATTAATGCTGACAATGATCCACTACTCAGGATCCATTCCATGTATAAGACAGGAAACCAAGACTTCCAGTGCAGATTAGATTTAATGTTCCAACCAGTACACATTTTCACTGCCAGAGATCAAATGGAAAGAGGAGACCATAAGCAGCATGAGCAGCACATTCCACATGATTCTAACGTTATATTTTTCCTTCAGAGCCAAAAACAACAAACGGAGAAGAATCCAACTTCCCCCATAGCCAAGAAAAAGAAGAGAAATAAGTATTATTTTTATGTACAGTTCATGAGGAAGTTGATGTTTCAATGAAGCAAAGTCTTCTACGCTTACTTCGAAGTGACATTCCCAAGGAGTGTTCCAGTGAGCTAGAAGCCTTCTCCAGTACAGAACTTAGTACCTGGTGGACAGTACTTGGAACAAGTTGGCATGCCCCAATATTAATATGTTCTGTTTTGCAGCACCTAAAGAAAAATACATTCTTCACCCTTCCTCCCAAAGTTGATATTTCTGCCCTCATTAATTGCAGTTGAAGCCCATCAAGAGCTTGTCTTAGGTCAGATAGTAGCTCCGGCCGGTAATCACAACATATAGATGCCATGTAAAACATTGATCCTCCTCTTCCTTCATCGTTGTATGGTTCAACTTTAACTTCATCATCATCCATTGGGATGAGAAAACCTCTGCTTGCTTCCATTGCATTCTTCTTCAGTAACTTAACTTGGTTGATAACTTCACCCAATAACGTTGCTTTATCCATCTGCACATAACAATTAACCCAGCAATTCAAGGTCAACTTCTGCAACAAATGTTTTCCAAAAGAAAAGGGAAACATGTTCAAAATAAATCTACTTATAATACAGTGATGTCCATTCTCAAAAAACAGATCATAACTTTTGGGATTAATCAATCGTGTTCCACTTAATTCCACATTCAGACTTCAGCTGATTCATGTTTTAGAAAATAGCTCCCTGACAGCAAACGCCTAATCTAGCGGTTGATTCTCAGCTTCCTTGTAGTTGGTTATTCTATGAAAGACTACATAAAAATAAAAACAACAGAAAATTGATGTCTAGCAGAGTTTGAATATTAAATGCTGGAAGCTTAGTTACATAGGGGTTTAAATATAGGTTTTCCTTCTAGTGCAGCAGCTTATTAGTTAGAAAACAAACAGAAAATGCAAGGCACATATAATTATATGTTGTATAATAAAAATTGATTTTGTCATTGCACTGAGAAGAATAAAAACTGGCACTCTGCCCTGATATTAAGTCAGGTCTTCCATCATTCGTAAGCTGCATGCCAGAAATCATGGTTTGCTTAGACAGAAATACTTAATAGCAAATAAATTAATGAAGTTAGTTCATAGTAGAAAAGGCTCTCCATTTTTCAGTGACAGACATAAGATTAATACACCAAAGTTGACTTTAAACAGAATTAATGTTTTATAATTTGTTAAATTTGACTTGATCAAGAAAAAGAATCATTCTATACTCTGGTGCATGATCAAGCACATAGCGTACAATTGTTTTCCTATAAAACGATATAATATTGAAACCAGTAACCTCTCATCGATTAATAATCAATAATTCATATTAATAAATGAATAAAATCACTAGCCATTAGGTTAACTTGCACATTTGAATAACATCCAACAAGAAATATTAATTCATTTCAGCTTGTGATGCGGGAAAAATTATTCGATTCAAACGAATAGCAGATATACCCAAGTGATGTAAGACGCATGTCATGCATAATAAATAATTCTACATTATATGATAGGAGACCCACCAGATAGTTGACATTACCAACTAGTAAAATAAGTCCACCGATCAAGGACAATAATGATGCAATTAAAACCGTTTGTTTAGTTACCAACAAGTACCTCAAATCTTAGTTGCGGTGCTTGCAGCACAGTACATACAGCTTCATTTTTCTTTTAAAAGCAACAAAAATTAATCAGCATGCATTATTAGAGGGCCACAACATAGTGTTCCATAACCATGATCTGCCATAATTGTTACGGTACTTAACAATACAACCATTGAAGTGAGTCTGGAAATCGTTGAAAAGCTGGACACGAAGTTGAATAATTGTATCAGGAATCAAAATATGTTAAAATCTGTTAATTTGTCATTGATTCTTCCCACTAACGATGAAGTAATAGCATTATTCATTCGATGAAACTCGGCATATATTTCCCTTTAATTCCAACAGCAAGCCAAACATCTTTGATCTTTCACTGTCCGGTTAACCTTGCTTTGTAATGTTCCCTTAGCTCCGATTTGGTTATCGCCTAAATCAAGATGATGGTTGTTCTGATCCTCTTTGAATTTGAATTGAATTGATTTTTCCATTTTATTAGCAGCTGATAATAGAAAGAATGTGCAAGAACTCAATAGCTCTACATAATGAGAAATATCATTTCAGTGAAGTCATTTTGGCTGGAATCTTTAAGGGTAATCATATCAAAGTCATGTTTTGCGGAGAATCTTAAACCAAAAGCCAGCGTTAAATGCTCTCAGCTCTTATAACCAAATGAACAAGATTTCCAGTTGAGGGAAAAGCACACATTACCTTCACATTGCTGGGCACAAGACCACGAAGTGCATCGAGATGACCATTTATTCTCTCCCTTCTTCTTCTCTCTGCTTCACTGTGGTTCTTCATAGCAGCCAAAGCTTTTGCCTCCGATGCCTCTTTCTTTCCTATCTTCATAGGGGAATTAATTGGATGCCCCTTCTGACTATTCAAGACCAACGAATTCGGTGACACCACCCTACTCTGCGAAACCCCATTAGAGTCAACAATTTTATGCGAAGTTGGATCGAACAGCCTCGAGACATCAGACCCAGATGAAGAGACCGAATTATAAGAGCAGTAAACCATAGTCACAGATCTTCTATTGATATTAATTCCGGAGCAGAAGACGAAAACCGGGGGGACGAGTTGTGGGAGCGAACCAAAATGATAATTTTTGGAGAGTGAAGATTTGGAAACCTGCTTTGTTGCTCTGTTTTCCGTTGATGGTGTATGTCATAACTTCCATTACGTATGAGAGAAAAAAGATTGAGGGGTTGGAAGGGGAAGATCAGTTACTAAACATCCACATTTTCATCTTGATATTTGCAAAGGACATCGTTCATATGTGGGAAAAAGGCAAGATTTTTCGAGGAAGCTTAGATGGTGCTAGCGATAGAGTTACAGAGAGCCTTGGAAAGAAGCAAGACTGAAAGGAAATTATATGACTCACCACTGTTCCAGAGCTTATATGGACAAAACAATAATAGAGCAACGTTGACCATTGCGCTATAAATATTCATAGAGCTTATTCTTCAGTCCATGAACAGATAAGCAGAAGGCTAACTTGTCCATCTTTTCGTCTCTATTGGTGTTTAAGGCGTGCAAGTCTCAAACTATAAATTAGTAGGCTCACTTAAATTTATGGCTCTGGGAATGAATAAAAAAGAAGAGGTGGGAAAATTAAGGATTCAAGTCATTCAACTGCTAGTGGTATTGATTGACAAAAAGCAATGGCTATGGGTCCGTGATCCTTGAAGCCCTCAAGGCTCCAGCTGGAACATTGGACTTCGTTCCTTTTTCTTGGGGTTATTTTTTTATTTATTTTGTTTGAATAATAAAGCATTTCAGTCGTTTTAGTTACGAACTTAATTCCAATAATTTAAATTTGCTTGCGAAATACTAGTACAGAATAAGATCTCAATTTATATGGAACATATTTATAAGTGTTCATAACTGTCATTTTAAATGAGCCCTTGATATTATCAATCAAGTCTCATAATACACAACTAGATTTTATGATTTGAAGGGGAAGTAAGGAGGGTCATAAGAAAATATCAATGGAAGATGTTTGTGATAAAAATAAATATGGGAGAATTACATGGAGGTCCCAAGTAAGGAAAAAAAATTAAAAAACAAGTCCTAAATGTTGTCATTCTCACTATAAGACTTGTCTTTATAAGCTGTTGAGATTGTTATTAAGACCTTTTAGTAATTATTTTTCTTATGTGGAACTTGATTGTAATTTCTTCAATAAATATTATCTTAATATTTAAGTGGAAAACATATAATCTTAAACACATATATAGTCTTTTTTTTTTTTTTCACGGTAGCTCTCTTTTTCATTTAATTATTTTTACTAAGGACCATTTGCCCTTGGGAAGAAGTGATAGAAATATTATATCCGTTATTGGCTTTTGGGAAGGGGTGGAAATATTATACATTATCTTTCTTTTTATTTTTTTCCTTTTTGCCAACGGAAAATATTATACATTATCCTATAAGTGCAACACAGACAAAGAAGTTCAGTAATAGTTTTAGTTAGTGGTTGCTGATTGTGTCAACCATCATACGATTTCAATAGCAACCTTGCAATGCCTGATTGGACGTCTTTCTTTTTCAAAATACATTGCAAAAGAAGATTATTCCATTAAAAAAATAAAAGCCAAATGATGAGTCCCTTCCATTTATCATGTGGAATAATAAGTGGAAGAGAAATATATATATATATTACAGAAATTATTGTTGAAGCTTCAAAATTGTTACTTTTATTATGAGTTGAATTTCAGATTGTCATAAAACAATTAAAAAATATGGTTTAATTTCTTTTTTAAATAATTTATAAGAAAATTTTAAGGAGGACTTAGTGTATTTATTAAAATTTTTCTATTATACTTCCATTAATAAACGAGTCACCAATCAATTAATAAACCACTAGTCAATCATCTTGATATCGTGATTAAATAAAAGAGTATATCTCTGAAAATAAATTGAATCTATATTTTTTTTTTCCTATTATGCAAGAAATGTTATTATCCTCACATTATAAGTTAATTTAATGCTTTTCCGGTCCTAAATATAAGACTCATTTTTAAAAATAATTTACATTCTAAAATGAGTCTTAAATTTAGAACCAAATGAGTACCGTTTAAAAAATTTTTCATTCCAGATTTTACTGCTAATGCTAATGTATTATAAGTCATTTACCATTATTATTCTTCTGCATGCTAAAAGTACAAACACCATTTTTTTTTTATAAACCTATTGGCTATTGTCCGTGCAAAGATTAAAAACTGATTTAAAAACTGCACAAATGAAAATATAATATAAAAAAATATTTTTTAAACAAAATAGGAAAAATAAAAGGAAAAATCGCAAAAACAAAAAGTAGAAATTGCGAAATTAAAAATCAAGTATTTTGTTGAAATATGTTGTCATTTGCAATCTAATTATAGTCAAAAACTTATGTACGTTTTTGTAGGGGGTCCCAATTTCCGTTTTTGTAATTACTCCAGTCATTTTTTATTTTCCCAAAAATGAGCAAAGAAACGAGTGTACAGTATTTAAAAATAATAATAAACACTACTGCTCCTGTTTGTTGCTCCTGTTTTAATTAAAGAAGATTTGTTTAATTAAAATCACAGCGCGGACTGACTTGGACGTCTCGACAAAACCTTAGCCTTTGACTTCCTGCTTTGGTTCGTAGTCTAATCCAACTACTATCAATTATTGAATTAAGAATACCTCATGTAAACTTGTTTTTTTTTGGCACGAGAGAGAGCTAAATGCCCATATTATAAACTACCAGGATTAAAACCTGCATAATCATTGCCTAAAAGAGTCTTTAAATTCTAAGGACAATTATCCAAAAGCAATACCCATCTTTGCAAGCCCAACTGCTACCTTCTTGTCATCTCTTGATATACTTATCTGATAGCAAATGTAATAAATGTAATTACGCTATAAAATAAAATAGGGTTTATGTTTAGAATTGGAAGAGCTTTTTTTTTTTTTTTTACTAAAACATAGGTATCCTCTTATTGGAGGCAATCCTATTCGAGTCACTGTCGGGTACTAAATATAAGCACCTCTCCCGGGGGAATTCGAACCTTAGTTAGTTATGTTGTGAAGAACTAACTCCTTCCGCTAGACCTAATCCCTGATGATTGGAAGAGTATATTTTAATTCACTTCCTAGCATATTCTGATAAACACTAGACTGCATCTCTCAATATTTTCCTTTCAAGTAACTGCCCAACTAGGGTCCTGGCACCAGATTCTAGAATCACCGTGCCAAGGATAGGTCCTTAAAAATCGCCCATTCTCCTGTTTCTGCAGCACCGCAAATACCCATCTCACAGCAAAACCCAACAATCCAAATCTCAGAATTATCTCTGATATTGCCATCACATCACACCCGGCCTTGGAAGAAATTTGAGCCAACAATAACTCATGCGAACTTACCTCAAAGGCCCAAAATCAAGAGGTCTCCACTATTAGCAGGGGTGTGGTGTTTTGTTATGACTTGCGCGATACTTCTAAAACTAAACCTGATAATATATCGAATAAAATTAACAAAAAAAAAAATCAAAATTACAATTAAAATTTGATTTTAATAGAAAGAGTTAGCCTTTTATAATATAATAAATAAAAGTTTGAATGTCTCTTAGAAGAGCTGCCCGCGTTTTAGTTTTGAAAAATCATTTTGAATTAATAAAATATGAAATAATCATTATTATATGAGAGAAATATTAATAAAATATGAAGATACATAGACACGAAAATAACCAATCTAATTTACACCCACTGTATGGTACAATTTTAATCTTAAATTAATTTTTATGGGGTAATTTCATTTAACCAAATTTAACTTTCACAGTTAATTTTTTTTTTGGGGGTCCAATACAGTTAAAACGTTGATTAGACAAATTTTTTACCATAAATCATTCACGTGGTATCTGTAGGACTGCTTACATGGCAACAGATGTTTTATTGGGTTTTTTCCCGAACAAAACTTCATTGCCGGGGGGCAAAAAAACTGCATGTCTCAGAGATATTGGCTTAACTTCATCACAGAGAGGGAGGAAAAATACGGCCGATCCCCCTAAGCCGCGATTGACGGCCCGGAATCGCGAAGAGGAGTTTGCTCTCAAGCTCGTAACGCGGACGCCAACAAGGGAAGGATTTCTGGGTAAGTAAACTCCGAAGCCCTAAACCGCAGAGAGGAAGTCGGCCGAACAATTTCTTGCAGGTGAGGATCGATTTCTGGTTCAGGCCGACCAAACGACTTCATTTTAACCCCTTCCTTTTTGTCGTTGTTGTGTATATATAACTTCTCACTTCGCTTTTCTCACAATGAGAGTGAGATAAGATAGGGCTAGAGGGATTAGGGATACGACCAAACAATAGGTGTTTTATTGAATTTTTTTCCCAAACAATCATCATTTGTTAGCCGGAAAAGATTGAAGAAGTCGCCGGAAACCATGGTTGCTGGAGGCAGAGGAGGTTGTGGTTTCTCTACCTGATGACCTTGTCCTCTGTATCCTCACCAAACTCAGCTCTTGGCTGAGTGTTCATCAGATCTTGTATCTTTCCGTGGTCAGAGGCTTGTAAAAATTAGCATCGTAACCTCAAGGGACCGTTACAAGAATTATACACGCACATTGATTGAAGACAGCTTGTGAAATTCAAATATCCATTACTATCATATGGGGGCCACCTGGATAAGGAAGATTTCATTAGTGTTCTGATCATGTGCGTATCTCAATGAATTTCAAAATATGATTGTTTTGATCCCGGTTTTTCTGGAATGGTCTCTGACATGTTTGATTTTTTTGGGTTTAGGTGTAAGAGATTTCAAGGTTTAAGCCTTCAATCTCAAAGTTTTATTGAAAGCTTCACCGAAAGCGTTAGTAATGAGACTTTTTGGGTTTAGTTGCAAGACATTTATGCAGATGATCAATGTATATGTGGATTGATAATTTCTCCTCACAAATGTTTTGCAGATACTCGGTTTTATTTCTGAAGCCTTTTAATCTTTTAAACTTTTGGATATTTTATTCTCGAAATTAAGCTGAAAATATGATTTGAAGCAGAAATGTTATCTTTACTAGTTAGTAAGCGATAAATACAAAGCCCAGCTAGGGTTATGAGTAGTAACCCCTCTTGCCTTTGTCAATTGTCTTTTTTCCCCATCGAAGACTATCTTCATTATGGTTATGCTGTAATGTTCTAGTGTTGGCAATTAGTAAGATTTTACTTCTCTTTTCCGTTACTTCCATGCACTTCTGATGACTCTTCGGCTTGTTATATCATCATTTGTCTTTCAATTCAGTCATTAGTCTAACTGCTACGAGCCACCCTTCCACTTATCTGCTTCTTAATTGGCAGTGCGTCAAGGATATTTTCTAAGGAAGTCCGAATGACCAAGCCTGGTAGCTCAGAGTTGAAAACCACAACAAAATCTCCTGTCATATACCGGTGTAAGAAATGCCGAAGAATTGTTGCTTCTGAGGAGAATATAGTTTCCCATCAACATGGAAAAGGTGACTCAAGCTTCAAGTGGAAAAAGAGGAGTGGCAACCCATGGGAAAAGGAAAAGCAAAGTGAGTGTACCTCTTTATTCGTCGAGCCCATGAAGTGGATGCAAGCAGGTCTTTGTTCATTCCCTTCATAATTCACTTTGTTCCCACAATAATACTCTTCATGCTAACTATATATATGCATGTTGTTTGAATTTGGCAGTACAAGAAGGTAGCGTGGAGGATAAACTTCTCTGTATGGGCTGCAATGCTCGTTTGGGTTACTTCAACTGGGCAGGTATGCAGTGCAGCTGTGGAGCCTGGGTTAACCCGGCATTTCAGCTTCATAAAAGCCGATTAGATGAGTGCTATATTTGATCATTTGCCCCGAGCTGTCCCAGGAAAGGGACGTGGTTTCAATAAATAATAGTTTAGCATGTAAACTAATGTCTTCATGTACAAGGCAGGTCAGGCCGGCGTGATGTCTTCAAGCTGAAGTTAGATTTAATGCTAGTAAAGGAACATGTGGCAGTACTTTCTTCTCATATTAATCTGCATTATTACTCTTCTTTTCTGCAATTTTTTTTCCCTTTCCTTGTGTGGCCTAGTATAAATGGTAATAGCATCATTTTTTCCCTTCCCGCATCTTGAGCTTTAGTGGATTGTCAGGACCGAGAACGGGTTATATGCTATTTTAGAACATGATAATGGTCGAAGTTTTGTGCTGTCGAAACTGTGTACCTTACCATAGCATTTGTAGTTATCGACTCTAGAGCGAATGACAGCCATGATTGTGTACACCATCTTTTAGTTACTATCTTATTTTAAATGAATAGTATTTTTAAGTCGTTCACTCCAACTTTGTGGACTTGTCATGACAAAAAGCAAAAAAAAGACCTCATTGGCTCCCTTTGAGTAATTGGAAAAATAGCGTAGACATAATCAAGAAATGAGTTTTCCTATGAAATTTCCAGTTACAATAATGTTTGCCCGTAGTCTCAGAAACCAAAGCCTCTCGACTAATTTAGCTAACCTACTAAACTTAAGGGGGTGTTTGGCAAAACCAAAATCATGGTTTCAGAATCACTTTTTCGCAAAACGAGGTAACATCTTCCACATATTTACTTCGTAATTCGTAAAAGCACTTTTAAAACCATGGTTTGGTTTTTATCCAAACACCCCCTAAATTTCGCATTGTCATCTTTCTGGTGATTAATTAATATATTAATTCCAGTCGTTCTCATATTTGAAAATATATTGATTCATCAATCCCTGGTCAATTGATCCTAATGAAAATTAATTTAGAGGATAATTAATTTACAGAAAATAATTAATTAAAATTAGTTAAAAACAATAAATAAGTTAGAAATATAATTTTGTTTTCAAATATTCCTTTAGAATAAATGAGAAAAAAGATAAAAAAAAAAAAGAATATATGAGAACGACAAAAAAGAAAGAATAAATAATTATTAAATGTTTAAACAAATTTCAAATTAAAATTTATAAAATGAATCACACTTCTCTCTAAATTTAAAGTTTATAAATATGACAACATCTATTACTAATTAATTGCCCAGTATTCCCCAACATTAAATTTGACTTTGTAAACAATATACACAGCACATAGATTATATCATATACTAATATATAATACAGTTGTTGCAGTCTTCCCTACAAATTCTATCCATTTGTGTTGCAATTTCCCAAGAATCTAAAAAAACTCAAATGATGTTGTCCACTTCAAGAGAAAAAGAGCAAGGATTATTAAAAAATGTGAGGATATGCGCATCCCATAAGATTATATTCTCTTAACTTCCAATTTTTTCCTTGCAAGTCCGTTACCGTCCTTAGTGTGGCTTCTCTGCACCTATAAATTCACCATAATCACTCTCTCGCCATTACAAAGAAGCTCATATATAGCCATAGCAAGCACTTTGGGACAGAATAGAGGCCACGAGTTTCTCATTTATATCAAACATGTCAGTTAGATAACTAAATCTTTAGTCTTTCTATTTTGCTCTTTTTGCATGTCTATATGAAGCTTTTGTAAAACACAGACACACACGTTTTCTTCTCGGTTCATCAGTTTGATCGAAAGTTCATTTGCGTGACTACATAAAGTCATTTTCACCATTTGTGAAGATAGCTTATATATCGTATAAATGAAAATTAGAACGTATCAATTTGCAGTACATGTGGCTTACCTCAATCGGCTTATCGGGGTATAGCTTGATGTTCATCTGGCTAGTGTTCAGTTCACTGACTCAACTTTTGTCTCGTCTTGGTTTCCAGATGGTGGAGATTTGCGTGCACATGGACTGTGCAGGTTGCGAGACCGAGATTAAGAAAGCTCTTCAAAAGTTACCTGGTATAATAAACATACATAAACTTTGCAAAGAATAATGATTTTAATGAGAGTGCGTACTTAATATCTGTGAATAATGTATCAGGAGTCGACGATGTTGATGTAGACATGGGCATGCAGAAGGTAACAGTGATGGGTTGGGCAGACCAAAACAAGATTTTGAGGACAGTGAGGAAGATGGGTAAAAGGGCAGAGTTATGGTCATACCCATATAACCCTGAGTACCATGGTTTTATTCGCCAATACAGCAACAGCATCATTAGCGGTAACTATGAGACCAGTTATAATTATGAGAGCAAATTTTATAATCCTCTTACCTCGTCCTCTGCGATGCCTACTGCTAATAGCAAGGCTTCCTCGTACAACTACTACAATCATGGCTATAACAATGGTGATGACTTTGGCTACTACCAACAGTCCATTGGTTCCTCCATTGTCAATGACAAAGCTGTCACCTTGTTCAATGACGATAATCCTCATGCTTGTTCTATTATGTGAACCCCCCACCAGAAAGAAATATGATCTACATTCACACTTTTATTTTTCCCTTTGTGTTTGGTCCATTTTTTGGGACCATCTAGCTAGGAATATGGATCATGGAGTGGTGTGTCTGTGATTTTATCTCCTATCTGAGTATACACATATTAGGTCAAATGACACAAAGCTCCCCCATATGTAAGACACGAGCAGTCACCGTAAATACAATATGGGAAGCTATGGCTTCTTGGAACTATAAACCTTTCCATCTAAATCTAATGTTGTCCGCCACTGAGAAAACGCTGGTCTTGTGCTATTTTTTTTTTTTGGTTACCCAGAGTATTTTTCCACCCAAACGGTGAGAGACTAATCTCTCAGGGTACGATCAGACGTCATAGTCGGGACCCCTCCCAACAGTGTTTGTTCTATACACACTGCCCCAAGGATTAAACTCAGGACATGATGTTTAAGGTGCCCAGGTCCCTTCCACTTAGACCAACACTAGTTGGTGTCTTGTGCTAATTTCAGAGCATCAAGCTTCAGTGTAATGTCTTCAAGCCCAAAGCCATCAAAATAATTATGCTTACATTGGACCTTAATCGGTCTTACATGATGGGTTGGGCCACCTAACTCTTTTTTTTTTTTTACAATAAACTGGATACCATCCAAACAAACTACAACAACTCTACAAACCTAAATACACTAAATAAAACAGAACAACCAAAACATCTCGTGTCATCCTCCATTTCCTTGTAGTACACAAGGAGGGGGTTGTTCAAAGACTTTGTAGCCTCCTGCCATTCCATGAGTAGCTCGTGCTAGGTGATCTGCGATATATAGCTCTTTACGATCCCATTCGGGCTTCCTCAATTACATCTAGATACGGGTGATTCTGATCGCAACCTCTGATAGTCAAACTGAGCACCTCCATACAATCTAATAGAAGATGAACTTTCCTAAATCCCTTGGTCCAACTTAGGTATAGACCCTGTGTTATACCAATAAGCTCCACAATAATAGGTGGGACTTTGGACAATTTATAGCTGAATCCCACTATCTAGTTCATATCTCTATCTTTGATCACTCCTCCACAACCACTATTACTATTATTGAGGACGGAACCATCTACCTTGACAACCATAAAGTCTTCAAGTGTACTCTGATAAGTTAGGCCCTCCAAATATCTGTTGTTAAGTTTTGCACACTTTCTGTTGAGATCAAAGTCTGAGTAGGCCCTAAAGAAACTTGTTTGGGCGTTGTTGTGCTCATAGTTTGCTTCTTCTCCAAATAGCTTCTTGCATCTTGATGTCTATATGTCCCAACAGATACAACCAAACAGATTATTCTATCGAACTTTGCGAGGAAGCTCCATTCCAGCTTCTTTTTGTGGATTCCGCTCTAGCCATTATGTACCCTGCAAAGAAAAGAAGTCCTCTCATATGGAAGGTAGGAGCACTGATTGCCATCTTTCTCTTGCATTCTTACAATCTCAAAGTAGGTGCATTGCATCTTCACCTTCTTCACAACCAAATGGGCAAGTTGTTGAGTTCCTGATTCTTCTTTTGCCAGTGGGAACCACCTTTATAACATCTTGAAATCAAAAAACCCGTTTTTTTTTTAAAACAATTATTTTGGAAATTCTTCCTCTCCCTCGTAAAGCTTTTATTTTCTGGCAATGCTCTTTGGATTAAGATGAGGAAAATATTTTTAGACCCGGGGGATGGTTTTTTTTTTGGCTCATTTGTTTAGTGATTTACTGTTACGTAATTAAGAGCCTGTAAAGCCTTACCCTGTTGTCAAAAAAATGCAAACACATCGTGTCGAATTTTTTATAACATGTTACGTTTTTGCATCTTTCCTATATGCATGTAAATATGTCAATAACCTGAAATCCATTCTGATTTTTAATATAAAAATTAATTGATTAATTTAAATAAATTAATAAAAGTGTTGTCTTTTTTAAAATATTTTTATTAATTAAAGTATAATAACTAGAACTATTATTATTATAAGAATTATTTTTTAAAAAATATAAATATGAAAAATAAAATAAATTGAAACGAAAATAAAATTTAACAAGCAAGTATCAGAGCTAGTATTACTTAAAAAAAAAAAAAAGATAAAAAAAGGGATTGCATGCGGAGGTATGTAAAAATCAAGTGTCATGGTCAGTTCATGAATGTCAAGGCATCCCAGAAAATGTCCTGGGAACTTTCAGGCCTGATGTCAAGGTTATATTGAGCGCATCCATGATTTCTGGCTCATCCCCTGCTCAAGTTGGCGTTTGGACGAGACTGAAACTCGGGGCGTCATTTTCCACACCCACAATAAACAAGTGTGAAAATGAGTAGACTTCTTCCTGTTGGTTGTACGGGGCTCCGACAACGAGGACGATCACAATTCACAAGACTGAAAGTTACGCGAATGGCTCGTGATGCGCGTGTTTTATTGAAGATATCGATGGCGATACCTAACAAGTTCAAGAAGTTGAAGGCGGGTGACCCACTGTTCATTTTGTCCAGTCCTTCCGATACTCAAAGCGACTCGGAGCATTGTTTCTTGGCCACAGCCTCTCGTTTTCCCTCCACCTCCATTGCTATCACACCAGGTACGCCATCCCCAGGTCTAAGTCGTCGTCTTCTCAGAATCACTCTTCTCTATTTTCCAACTATCTTGTCATTTGCGTGATGTAGCAATCTTCTTCTAAAAAGACAAAAGAGACGGAAAAAAAAAAAAAAAGAATCTGCCGATAACTGTATCTGAACCACTCAACCTGCAGGGTGAGGAGACTTATAGATTTCCGGTCAGCTGTCGGTGAACGAGCAGGTAATGGCGGCATCTTCTACGCAGATTTTGCTTTTAAAATTGAGAGAGAGGGAGAGAATTATAACTCTTAAGGGTCGTTTCCTCTCGGTGTTGCTCTTTCTGGAACCATCTCTCTGGGTGTACAGGGGTTTAGTTTTGGTTAAGTGTTAGTAGACACAGGAGAACTGTTTGTTTATGCATATTTTAATATGGCAACAGTTCCTTTAGTTCACGCTTGGCGGGGAAGCTATTGGAGAATTGATAATACAAAGAATATCTCGCAAGGTCCAATCGAGGCGTCTTCTCGCGCGTCATCATCGTTTTTGCTGCGTTGTTCTACATCCTTCACCTCCGGCTCGGGATTGAGTTTCGCTTCTAGTAATTATCCCCTGTTATTTTGGTTCTCAGCTCTTACCTCCCAAGCTTCACTTACTTCACCGTATTTATTAATTGCGTAGATTGCCCATTTCTATAATCTGGACTTGACTGGTTTTTACTCTCGGCCTCCCTTTTCCCCTCTTTTTAATTTGGATTTTGTGCATTCTTTTAATTCGAAGAGCTTTGCTTTTGCCCTTTTCCGATTCTTTATGCGCCATTTTTCTGACAGCAGTTCCCTGTCGGGACTTGAAGTCTAATTGACGTGTCCTTTCATTTTTGTCCATTGGTCGGTCGTGGTATTTGGGTAGCTCATGCGTAGTTTTGGACTATTTACTTTGCCGCTATCAACTGCTGAATGTTGATTCAGAAAATTTCTATTGCTTTTCGAGAATCTCTGATTCAGCCAAAATTAAGACCCTTCGTGCTGTCCCGAAAGGAGAAAGAAAAAAGCCACCCTTTACGTGACAATGATCTCTCTCTGACACATCTACAGCTCTCCGTCTAGGCGTCTACTGTCAGTATCCGGGATCCACCATGGATGTCATAGCAATTTCATCTGTACGATTGCTATTTGCTAAGAGCCGAAAACTTGTCTTGGAGGATCGTTACCGAGGACCATGGTTTTATTACATTTACCTTATTGTAAAATAATCAGTTTGCATCAATATTACCTTTTTTACCGACCTTACTGAATCCCCGTCGAATTATTTGATTGAAAGAATATGATTCAAAGCATATGGATATTAAATTTAAAGAAATGCTGGTAAAATCCTGATTTATATATATATATATATATATATATATTTGGGTGACTGATTGAGTTATTTGAAGAATGAACAGCTTACAATCATACATATGAAACCTTTTAAGTTTTACTATTGTAACTAGTTGTCAGTTTTGGCCTCATGGGGACAGCGACTGTGGCAGAGACTTCAAGATGCAAACTGGATGCTAGTCTTTATTTTTTAATATCCATGTGGCATCTGATGTTCCTGGAGATAAGAAATATGATTTCCATTATGACACGCATCAAGAAAAATGAGAAAGGAGGCGGTTAATGAGAACTCAAGTGTAATTCTGGACTTATTTTAGATTCATTTAGAAGAATAAGGAGTGGGTTTTGCTCAGTTCAAAAACATTGTAATTCATGTCGGTAATACAAACAATTGGGCAAGAGTTTGCTGGTATATCACGTGATACTGATCTAGAACTTTAGATATGGTGCAATGGCGCAACGCAATTTTCTTCCTCATCATGAAGGATAAAGAGATGCAATTCTGTCTGCCTAAAATTGTCAAATTACTTGTATACCCATGGCTGTGATTATGATCTCCATGATCATGTAGGACAGTGGTTTATGCATATTCGGTGTGGCGTTTTGTGTGTTGAATTTTAGATATATCCTCCATGGCTTTCTTCTCCCAACCCTCTCCTTTTAAATTATTATTTCCAGTGAAAATAACATAATAATATTGGTTTCAAATATTAATAAAATATTCTTGCTTTCCAAAATTTCCCACTTGTTTACGTTAAGGCTGGCAGATAAACTTATGCAGGTGAAAACAGTGGACAGATATACCAAGGTATTATAGCTAAAGCCATGGATACTACTGCTACTGCGGAAGGACAGTCTATAGCTAGAAGTACTAGGAATTTAGATAATGGCCCGGATCATCTCCTCATTCTTGTTCATGGTATCATGGCTAGGTACATTTATCTTTTTTCAAATGTTGCTTGCGCAATTCTGTGTTCAAGTTTGAGTACAAGTGTGTTGTAAAGCTCATCTGGTTAATGCTTTTATTTCACATTCTTCATTTGAAGCTATTCCTTTCTTTGTTTTTTTTTTTTTTCCAGTGTAAAAGTGTAGAATGAGTATTTTCAACAATTTTCAAGGTTTTTTCATTCTTTTGGCTGTTGCTCTTAAGTTTTGTCCGTATGACTTATTTCTTAACTAATGCAGCCCAAGTGACTGGACATATGCAGAAGCAGAGCTGAAAAGGCGTCTTGGAAAAAGTTTCCTAGTTTATGGTATCTAGTGTTCATATCTATTTTACTTGTGTTAAACGCATTATCTTTGTTTAGACTAAACCGATACTTTTTAAGAGACACCTAATTGTATGAAGTCTTATTATATTGCAAAATGACCTAAGCTCTCATTTAAAGGTGGTGGGAAGTGTGTGTATCCCATGCTCAAAGATTATGAAACCACTGAGAACTTCAAAATGGTTTTGTGATCGATTGGAGCGAACAAAATGGGATATTTTAATCTAGTGAAACTATATCTACTTTGATTTAGCTGAACACTGCCGAGATTGGGTTGGCTAGCAAAACCATATTCTCACTCGTTGATCATTTTTCTTTTTATAATGTGAGAGTCTTTGTGTATCAGTTGAACAGTAGTTAGCCTATTATCGAAGCGGTGATGATAATTGACCTGCAATGTGTATAAATGATATTTCTTGAGAAGAACAATTGTTGAGTGCTTCAATTCATGGGTCTAAAATAAATATTAAGTGGACGTCCTTTTGCTTATTTGATGTCTGCAGCGAGTTCTTGTAACACTTACTCTAAGACATTAGTTGGGATTGATGAAGCTGGAAAGCAGTTGGCTGATGAAGTGAGTCCTGAAATATATGCAAACTAATGTATCTAGATTAAGGACCTCCAATTTTGGTTCTGATAAATTGAAGTTTGTTTTCACTGCTTCAGGTTGTATGGTTATTTTATTATTATTTCAGGTCATGCAAATTGTAGGGAAGACAAAGAGCTTAAAAAAGATATCCTTTCTAGCCCATTCTCTGGGTGGCCTATTTGCTAGAAGTGCAATTGCTGTTCTCTATTCATCTTATACCAGTAATGCCAACAAACCTAGCAAAAACTGCGTAGTAGAAAATTCACAGAGAACAAGCTCGTCTACTGGAGGGGTGATTGCTGGATTAGAGCCAATCAATTTTATTACCCTAGCAACTCCCCATCTTGGTGTGAGGGGGAAAAAGCAGGTTTGTTCTGGACAACATAACTTATGGTGATACTTTGGTTAGCATACAAAAGTGTTTCATTTGAATCATGCTATTGAACTACAGTTGGTTTGTCTGTTGTCATTTGTTTATACTCATCAGCATCTTTTCTCGGATGCTTTAACCACACACTGCTTTTGTACCTCCAAATTCTAATATCTTTAAGAAAAATTAATCAATGCATGATACTTACATTTTGGCGGATGAGTTATGCTTCTTCACTTAGAAGCGCCGGTATGTTGCTAGTGCTCAAGGATTTGTCTTCCTTCCAAATGCTTCAAGGGCATTCGAAATTTTTACCTTTATATCTTCTACTTTATCATGAGGAAAATATGCACGTCACAAGCATTTTCACTGATTGCGTGCATATTTTTCAGCTTCCATTTCTATTTGGCGTGTCTATCCTTGAAAAGCTTGCTCCACCTCTGGCTCCTCTATTATTTGGACAGACTGGTAGTCAGTTGTTCCTCACTGATGGTAAACCGAACAAACCACCCCTTCTATTGAGAATGGCTTCTGATTGTGAAAATGAAAAGTTCATGTAAGTCAAGAAAACCCTGTACTAACTATAGATTCTTATGTCTCAGACTCAGACTCTCAAGCCAGTGCTTATATGATTCATTTTCTGTAGATCTGCGCTAGGAGCATTTAGATGTCGTGTGGCATATGCTAATGTTTCATATGATCGTATCCTCTTGAATCTCACATTTTATATCCTTATTCACCTTCCATCATGGTAATTTCTTTGACTTTATATAGATATGGTTGGGTGGCGTACTTCCTCAATAAGGAGGGAAACTGAGATTGGAAAGGTGAATGCAACAATCACTCTTTTGGATTTGTTTTTCCTTTAGTTTTTTTTCTTATGGCTATTGTCTCTGATGGACGACCTTCACTTCCACATAAACTATTTGCATTAAAAAATTAAACAGATGGTAGGATTCTCAGTGTTATTCTTAATCTCAAAAGTTGGAACCAGTCTCTCTAAGCTTTAAATTAGTTTGGGCTTCTTTTTTTTTTTTTCGGGTTTACGTCAAATTAGTTTGTAGGTTTAAATCAAGCACGTATTTTATTGAGTATGAATATAGTGGAACGATCACGTTTCATGAAAGGCCCAAAATGGAGGTCCATACTCCATAGTACCGTACTCCATGGAGACTACATATCAACGTGAGAAACATAATTATGACAAACGAAGTAAAGTACATAACAATAGAACGTTCACAACACACTTTAAGTGGGGCATTATTAATGTGTGAATACAACATCTGACAGAATGAAGGTCCCGCCACACATGACTATAATGCATTCACTTTCACTCCTGTTAGTGGGCTTTTTTACTCTTACTCGAGAACTTTACTGGTCTGACTGTTGACTGGGGCCTTGGCATTTAAAATGGTCAAGACGCTTTTATTATTTCAACTCTGCTGGTCAGTTCATTAGTATCCTATCTAATTCGTTGGCCGAAAAAAGCAAAAGGCCATCCTGTCCTCTAGCTTCTCTCTGTCTTCCACTATAGAGGCAAAACTTTGTTGGCAGAAGATTAACTCCTGGATCAAAAACTGAATGATATGGTAGTTACCCATGCATGAGTAGATCTATCCATGGCGTCGCCAGGGGAAAAAAAATCCTTTAAAAGGGGCTATTAGGTCATGGATGGTATTTGTGGTTACTCCTAGGTGCTGGCTGTTTGGAGGGATTTTGTATTTCAAACAAGAAAGAGAAATTAATGGATGAAGTAGGAAAAAGAATGTGACTTGGAAAGTGTCAAGAATGTCTAATCTGTATGTTTCATTGGCAGCCTCCTAACCAATCAATTGACGGATACGAGCATATTGTAAATGTCGAAGATTGCCCGCCAGTTCCCTCAGATGGCCCCAATTTTGCCCCCGAGGCAGCAAAAGCAAAGGAGGCAACTCAAAATGCACCAACTATACAGAATGCTATTGAATATTACGAAATTATGGAAGGTAATTGGTATTCCTAACAACTAAATTACAGACCAGGAAAGTTCCAGTGGGGTAACTAATCTCTATATGATTAAAACTGACTTGTGTTCTATTGACAGAGGAGATGGTACGCGGATTACAGCGGCTGGGATGGAAAAAAGTCGATGTCAACTTCCACTCAGCAATCTGGCCTTTCTTTGCCCATAACTATATTCATGTATTGGATCAATACTTGAAAAAGATATATAAGCATCTTAAGTGCGTTTTCCTTCTGTGGTGTTGGTTTTCTCTGGGGTTCTTAACTTGGGATTTCTGCGATGATTTCAGGTGAAAGATGAGAGGCTTCACAGCGCTGGTATAGGTGTAATTGCTCATGTTGCTGACAGCATGAGGCAGGAAGAAACATCTTCTTTAGCTGGAGATGTGATCAATTCTGAGCGCTAGCTTGTAACCAGTGAATGTAAAATTACAATTCAGAAGAATACTTCATATCAGTATTCTATTTTAAGGTTCATCAATATCCTTACAACAATACTTTATATCAAGTTGGGGCTTGGGGCAAGTTTAAAGTAGCATTTACATGTACGTAATAAAAATTTTGCAACTTCAATAGAGAGATACGTTGTCTTTTAGCTTTTTGTATATTTCGAATAACCAGCCTAATGTTGACCAATCATTAATTTTGGTTAAAGTGAATTTAGAGTCTTTGGGGTTGAAAAAATTAAAATAAAAACTTAATAATAAAGAAAAGAGAGGAAAGGGCTGGGGGTAGGAGGCGAGAAAGGATCATTGCGAAAAATGACTCAAAAATATATATTAATGATTTAAATTTGAGGCTATTTTCTATCACTTTGGTGACCAAAATAAATATTTTCAGTCATCATATTAAGTAAACATAATTTCTCACCAAAAAAAGAAAAGGAAAAATAATGATAATCGGACACAATGCCAGCTCAATCCCAATCATATTTCTTCGTTCAATCCACAATCTCTGCACCAGAACGTGACAGGGACTTCCATAGTTACACTCTGACACGTGGACACTGCCTCTCAGCTTCATTGATCACTCTCCCAACCGCGAGTGGGCATCATCTTCGGCCTGTCTCCATGTCCCACGGTCTCCGATATCGCAGCCCGTCATTCACCAACCCCGACCGCCTTGTAACTTTTCCATTGCGCCAAATTGCTACTACTATAAACAGAGTAAGGTAGCAAAAGGCGTCATATCTAGAGAGAGAAAGTTCAGACCAGACTGCGAGGAAGAAGAGAGAAGGTAGCAGATCGGCTATGGCGTCGACTAAGGAACGTGAAAACTTTGTCTACATCGCCAAGCTTGCTGAGCAAGCTGAGCGCTATGAAGGTCTTTCCCTTACTCTATTCTTCTGAGGTTTCTGTTATTCATTGCTTCGGTAATGAGAGACTCTACTATGTGGGAATTAATGATCTGTGCGAAGATTTTTCCTCACCGGGGAGAAACCGTTCGAAGTTTATTTGTTTTTGTCTGAGCTATTCTTGTCTTTATTTTTGGTGGGATTTGTTTTAGTCCTGTGCAAGTAAAATTGGAGCCGAGTTTGAGAACGATGTAATTACTAATTTTTATTGTTTTTTTTGTAGAAATGGTGGATGCCATGAAGAAGGTTGCTAAGCTGAATGTTGAATTAACGGTTGAGGAGCGAAACCTTCTCTCAGTTGGGTATAAGAATGTTGTGGGTGCAAGGAGAGCATCTTGGAGGATTCTGTCTTCGATTGAGCAGAAAGAGGAAGCAAAGGGGAACGATCTGAGTGTGCAACGCATAAAGGAGTATAGACAGAAGGTGGAGTCGGAGTTGTCAAATATCTGCAGCGATATCATGAGTGTTATGGATAAGCATCTTATTCCCTCGTGCGCTGGTGGTGAATCCAGCGTGTTTTTCTACAAAATGTATTTGATTTTGGTTCTAAGTTTTTCTTTTTCCTTTTTCCAGCTTTTTCCCTGGAGAATTTAAATTTCAGAATTTTTACTCTTTGGCATTTTTCCTGTAATGTAGGAAAGGTGACTATTATCGGTATCTGGCAGAGTTTAAGTCTGGTGATGAGAGAAAAGAAGCAGCCGATCAATCCATGAAAGCATATCAGGTCTAATCAAATTCATAAATCTTATATCATCATCTGCTTTGTCTTGTTTTAAATATCTTTAAGTTGGTTCACCGCAAAACCTTGTGATTCATGATGTTTGAACTGTGTTTGCTTGGCCATTGGCGTGAATCTGGCATCTGAAGCCTGAAAAGAAAAATGTTACTTGATGGTTTTCAGATTTTTCACTAATATCAAGCGACAAATGTTAGTATAGGTTTAGCCAAAGTGGATGCAATCAAGGTATTAATTGACTCCTGCCTTCTCCTCCCCCCCCCCCCCCCCCAAAAAAAAGGTTTATATCTAACAATTTATTCTTGTAGCTCTGGTTAGTTGAGTCAAATATGCTAATAACTATTCCACCATCTTGTCAAGTACGTTAAGTTCTGAACTTTTTGATGATATATGAGCCCGAAATCATCCTTGCTTGGTGAGATACAGAGAGGAAATGGAGAGGAGTGTTTGCTAAATGTTTATCCTTGAGAACTTTATTTGTCCGTTCCTAGTCTATAACTTGCCTTCTAAGCACACTCTAGATGTCAGCTGACGCAGCTTCTCAAACTCTTCTTGTTTCTGTGCTGTTCTTTCTCCCCAATCCATGTATCCCTGACGAAGCACTGCCAACTTTATGGGTTATAAATCTGGTTTTGTCATATGTAATCTTTTCCTTTTTGCAATGCTGAGAGATAATTAGGGTCTTTGAAAAGTCAATGAGTAGTTGTACTGATTTTAGTGATTTGAATTTTAGCTGAGTAGCGAAGACTGCAAGAGTTACAGGTTTTCAATTTTTGTTCCACAGTTCCCCCTAGTTCATGTCAACGGCTGACCCTTGATAATTTACATTTGCAGGCAGCTTCCTCTACAGCTGAGGCTGAGTTACCTCCCACCCATCCCATCAGATTGGGTTTGGCTTTGAATTTCTCTGTCTTTTATTATGAAATTTTGAACTCTCCCGAAAGGTATGCTTAATGTTAAAGTCTTCCTGACAGAGTTCATGGATCACTTTTCACTTATGTTCATGTTCTATTTTTAAAAAACTCATGCAACATACTTTTCATTTCAGAGCCTGTCACCTTGCCAAGCAGGCCTTTGATGAAGCAATCTCAGAGTTGGATACTTTGAGTGAGGAGTCTTACAAGGACAGCACATTGATTATGCAACTTCTAAGGGACAATCTCACTTTGTGGACTTCTGATATTCCTGAAGATGGAGGTAATCACAAACTGGAAGTTAATGTTTGCCGTCCACTATGCCACTCTCATTTGTAACCGAAATATATTCTATGCCTTCTTCTAATTTCCAATATGTTCTTTTGATTAGAATTATTAGAAGACATTGCCATAGACTATAGTTTGTATGGTTGTTTGTGTCTTCTCTCTCTTCATACTGACTCATGGAATATTGTTCATAATTGGCAATGCCTTGTTTGTGGTTGTGTACAATGCTGTGCTGATTACACTTTAGCTTGGATTGCTATTTCTTCCTCTGTGTGTTATTGGTGACGGTGATAAACTATGGAAAAAATAGATCAAGCTATTAGTTCTTTATTTCTGATTAAAAGTATTAAGGCTAACTAAAAAATTTCATTCCATCTATGACCTTCACAAGATCCTTGATCTCTTCGTTGCTTTTGTAACTTTAGCAATTAAGATGAATGCAACTTTTCCAATTTCTTTCATTTAGCTTTGATTTTTTTTCTTTCATCTCCCTCTCATTAATTATTGGTGGAAAAGTGTAACTCTATTTGTCTAAGTTAAATTGCTCTATTTTCTAGTTGATCACTAGGACTTGGTGATTTGTGCTTAATTGGAGTACACTTGTTTTTCATGAACTCTGAAGTGGGTTGTACTAATTGTTTTCTTTTGTGCTTCTGTTAGAGTTAGATGTTCTCTCATTAATAGATTTTGGATTATTCAAGTATGCTTATTTTAGTGTTATTATGCTACTTATATGGGTGTGTTGTTGAGTAATATTTTCCATAGTCCTCTATCTTTTTGTTCTCTCATTTGGTTTAGATACTTCCTAATTTCTTCCTCTTGTTTCTATTCAATATTAAGTTGATATTACGTGTTAATACCCATTTAACTGGTCTGTGGAACCATGTCTGTTACGGTAGAAGTAACCCATTCATCTAGCCGTAAAATCCTATGCTTCCTCTGTTTAGAACTCCCTTGCCTCAATGCCGACGAGTGCTCACTCTTTCGTTCTAAGCACATTGAAAACTTCAATCGGGTAGAAACGCAAGCACTTTGGAAGAGATATAACTTGTTTTCTTAAGCTAGTTGAAGGATGAAGATTCTAAGCTGACATACCTGCTAAGGTCCAACTAATATCAATAATATAGAACTAGAAATAATCCAATGTTCTGTTTGGTTTCCACACATATTCCTGCAATTTTGCTATTTACACATGCCACTGTGTCGTGGTATTAAACTTATCTTGGGTGTTACTTTGCTTTTTCCTCTGAGATTTAGTTTTAATTACTTCTGTGTCCTACTGACCCAGTTCTAATGCATGTGCTTTGTCTGAGTTATTTGTAAATTGAATCGAGTTCTTAATTTTGTACAGCTGATGAACAAAAGGAGTCTAACCGGACTGGTGGAGGTGAAGATGCCGAGGTAGGTTAAAAACCACTTAGTAGATCTTCTTGGGATAACCATTTTACTAAGGGGGAAAAGGATTTTCTTCGGGCTTATACTTTTACCTTACCAGAGAAATATGCATATATTTATTTTTTGCAGTAAAAAATGACGAGGCCTTTGGCTAGGGTTTTGTGCTGTCTATAAAAGAAGGCTAGTCTATGCAACTCCTGGCGGTTTTTCTTTGTATCTTCTCTCGGAAGTTCACAGTTTACCGTTGTTGTGATAGGACCTGGAAGTTTTGTGCTAGAAACTTGCAAATCCTAGGGCTTTATTTCCCCAGTTGACTAAATGGAAAGCATTTCGAAGATTTGCTATAGGAATATCCCATTCTGCACACCTTTTTAGCGTGTATTTGAGACATATGTGAACATAGTTTGGCTATGAGTTGATGGGTGCATTTTTTCCCTTTAGTCAGTCCAAATGGACAATCGTACTGGTTACGGAATTCTCCGGGAAATTTCCTTTGAAATGAGATTATTGGCGACTCATTTGATCAGTTGGCACATCACTAAAATTTTCTTCTCGAAAGAGACCTGTTCATAACTTGTACGAAATTCGAAAATGCCTTTCTTTTTTTTTTTTCCCCCTCTTTTGCCTGAAGAAAATGCCTTTCAAAACGTGTGAACTTTGGCATTTATTATTTTTCTGAGATTTCTTGAATTTAAAGATGCAATTCGTGTTGACAATGATGCTGCTGCTGCTTAACAACAATCCCATTCAAAATTCTTGAAGAGTGTGTGTAAATCCTCCACGTTCCCCAAACACAGAAGAGTCCCGTGGCCGAAAACAAGGAAATTGGACTTTTCTGGCATTAAGAACTAATAACGTGAAAAGTCGATATGGGCCTTCAAAGATTATTATGAACCTTTGAATCTTCCAAACGATATCCCTTATTAACCAGGGGGCGTCCATTATTTTTGTTAATTCGAATCCGGCGCCATGTTGATAATGATGCTTAACAAGAATCCCATTACCTTTGTCTCTGTGTTCCTACTTCCTGGCGATCCAATTTTATTATACACTCCTCTGATTTTAGAACGTAGGAATTAAAATAATTAATTTATAAAGATTAGCCCCTATGAATATTTTTTCCCCCCAAACTATTCCTATATTATTGCCCAAGCTCGGACAATTCTTCTAGTCTGTTCAATATATACGATGACAATGTTCGAACCCGGAAATATCCTCCGCCCAATCTATACGATAGCTTTGGTTGGTAGTAGCGCCTGCCGGCGAGGTCAATTGAATTCTCTCGTTAGCTTACTCAAAAGCGATTTCTATAGTTACGGATGAAAAAAATATAAGACGGCAAGCGCTTATAATTGTCCTGATTTGGTATAACATCACTAGGCGCTAATAGATTATTCTACTGCGAACAGTGATTTGAAAATAATTAATCCAAAAAAAGGAGATCATTTGTGAAATACAGGCGATGGGTGATCGGAAAACAAGGGGAAGAGGAGAACCGCACAAGAATAACGAACAACCAAGATTAGGCGAAGCCATTGAGGTATAAAATGACCGGAATTTGCATAGTTATGGTCAGCCCTCCCTCTGCATCAAAATCCCATCCAAACAGAGAAACAATAAAGGCAAGGAATCACTAAGCGGCAATGGCGAAGTCCGGCGCCATCCTCATCCTTGCCTCTGCCCTTTGCTTGATCTCCCTATTGAATCTGGCCGAGTGCCACGATCAGTTCTTCGTGGAGGGTTCCGTCTACTGCGACACTTGCCGGACTCAATTCATGACCCGCCTCAGCCGCTTCGTCGCCGGAGCGACGGTGAGGTTGGAATGCAAGGAAGCAGAGAGCGGGAAGGTGACGCTGAGCAAAGAGGCAGTTACAGACGGTTCGGGTGGATACAGTGTGGAGATTGAAGGAGATCGCGAAGACGAATCGTGCGAGGTGGTTCTTGTGAAGAGCAGCGATCCTGAGTGTTCTGAGATTGATGCATCGTCTTTCGGGACTCAGGCGGCTAAGGTCAGCGTCACCCGCAACAACGGCATCGTTTCGCCGGTTCGCTCGGCCAACCCTCTCGGCTTCCTCCGCAACCAACCTCTTCCTGAATGCGGCGCCGTTTTGCAGGAGCTTCACCTTGCCGCCGACCCCCTCAGTGATGACGACCCGCTCGACTGAGATTAATTACCTCCTTGGTTTAATTCAATTATTAATCCCTCTTTCCCCCCCACTAATCACTCCAAGAGGGGGGGCTCTAATTCTTCATTCTCATATCTTACTTCATATGTATGGGATTCAAGATCCCGATTATGAACGCAATTAATCTTTGTGCCAATCAACAATCAAAAGGGATTTTCACTTGTGTGAATGAACCTTCATTGAATAACCCAACATCAGTAAATATATATATATTAAAAGTAAAAAAAAAAAAAAGAGAGTTGATGGTTCTTATTTCTAGGTGCAAAAACATAATTCTCATATTTTAAAATTATTAAATAAATTCCATATACTAGTCTCAAAAGTTCAAAGATGGATAAATAATAGTCAATTGCACATTTGCAATACAATGCGTCATTTCGTTGATCTTTTTATCAGCAGCGGACTTCTGAAGTGGGGACGTGACTTTTGTTTGTTTCTGTTCTAATTACAAAACATCTTTATTCGTTTCTTCCTTTACACACACATGCGTGTGCGTACGAATGAATGTGTATATGAAGTCTGATCATTGTTATTTATTTATCTATTTTAATCTAAAAAATAAAGTGCAAAAAAAAACCCCCACCAAACCATTTTTTAAAAAAAAAATGGGGGGGGTATGTTTTGATATGAATACGAATCCTTCAAAATGAAAACATATCGTGGCGGATAATGCGACAGATTAAATAAAATAAATTGCTTAATTTTGAACCTGTGATATACCCGGATCAGGATAATAAATGACAAACAAGAGACAACAAAAGTGTGGACACGAAAACAAAAGTTGGGAAGACCAGAAAGTATAAACTTTTTTTCTTCTTGCGTGTGTATCCACAATGCCTTCCATCATGTCACATCCTTTGAAAAGTAGGCATCTTTATCCGATACTCATTTTTAGAAGCAGAAACATTAAAATAGACTCCTAAATTAAAATATCCCTTCCACACCCCAATCCAAAATTGAACACTTCCCATACCTCATGAGAAGAATAAAACACACACAATAATTTCAACCCATGACTATCAGTAACGTGCCAAGACTTGGAATATCTCTTGGTATACATAGCATTCCTTCGAATTTTTATTATAAGCATCTAGTGTGTTATTTTACATAAATTGATAAAATTAATTATTTACCATTAGTTAGAGAAATTTTATTAATTACTTGAGATGTTTTGTACTCAATTAAAAAAATTAAGGAAAAAATTAAATAAAGTATGTTATATTATAAAATATATGATTAAGTCTCATGATAAGAAAGAGGGAAAATATTATTTACAAGTCTTTGTTTTTTTTTGTGTGTGTGTTTTTTGACTAAGTACAAGTAAAATTTAAACTAGTCTTTGGCTTTAGAAAGTGAAGACGAGATTTCCTAGTTGTATTGAATGGGATGAAATGAAAGCGAGAAAAAAGAGGCCGGCCTCTAGAAACAATGAGAAGGATGTTCACTAGAGGCCTTAATTGTCATAACAAAGACAAAACAAGTTATAATTAAATGTCACCAATTTTAATTTAATTTAATTTAATCTAATCTCAATTTCAAAGTGAGCTTCCTTTGTAATTTCGTTATTTATGCAATTGACCGTTTCCAGATTTTGTGCGCACCTTTAATTTATTCAACACCGTGGCTTTCGTGGATCGCACTCCTGCCACCGCCAACCGCCAACCGCCAACCCCTTCTTCTTTATCTCCTAATTAACTTTACACGTTTAAATATATAATCTCTTGTCCTAATTGTAAAATTTTTATTTATGAACTACAAACGAGATCTTATAATTAACACCGAAAATAATATTTTATATGATCTTAAAATATAAAAATTCATCATCGTCAAAGGTTAAACTTAAACTCTATCTCACTGTTATTCTTTTTTATATAAAAGTACTCATAAATTATTCGCCAATAGAATCCTCAAAATGACAATGGGGTTTTGAATCCATAGCTCTCTTTTAATTAATTGAAACTTAGTTATAATGTTTTTTAAAATAATTATATTATCTCCTCTATATATGTGTGTGTGTGTGTGAAGCAAAGGCTAAATCATGCAAGGAAAAACTTATATCACTATATAATTAATGCGCGAAACCCTTCATTAAGCAATCTGGTGTTTAGTTTTACACGGGTCCATTTTTATATTAGCAACAGGTTTAAACCTGTTTAAGATTATAATTACTAGCTATAGATTCACGGTTACGTAACGCCATTAGAGGGAAGAAACATCTGTTCATTGACTTTTTCACCTCATTTTATGGTGGCCTCGTCAATAAATTAAATAATTTATTATTTAATAAGCAACAGGTTTTGGACGTCGTCGTCGATCGTTGCTAAACATCAAGTTGAGCGGCAACGTCAAATTGCTTGTTCTTCCCACAATATTTTTAATTATTTGATAACTTTTCACAGTACTATAAAAAATGCCCAGGCAACTCAATAATTGAACATCATATTCATATAATACTCTGACTTAAAAAAATAAAACAATTATTGTTTCCAAATTCAATCAGGGATCACGCGCAAAAGAATTTTTTTTTTTAACCCTAATTATAAGGTGCAATGCTAGAGTATCGAAGCATTATATTGTGACTGTGTGGAAAATATATTTACGTAGAATTGTTTAAAAAATATTATCAATATATTTAATTATTGAAATACACCAATATGCATCCATTTATATAATTATATTTTTAATTTTATGCTGATATATATAGAAATTATTTCTAATCAACATTTTTTTCCTCATGCATCCATAGATACTACCTACCTGCAAACACTACATTTAAATTGCTGTCAAAATGAAAATACCTCATAACATGCCCATCAAATTTGTATGGAGCATTTTTTTTTCAATTTTTTTTTAATAATATCATATACAAGAAAGAAAGAAAAACGGAAGGGAGGGAGGGAGGGAGGTTAAAAAGGTTGACCGGCAATGGTGTTCCTCGGCCGTTTTGCTGGCAGAAGGTGCCGGAAACCACTCTGAGCCATCGCGACATGCCACTCCTCCATAATATTCAACCCCTCATCCAAAACAAACTGGCGGTGACCGCCGTCGACAGATTCCTCGTAGCCACAACCCTCGGAGAATCCAGCAGGCCCACGGCAAGGTGGCTTGGCCTTCCTCCTGCCGGCCCCGATGGGCACGTTCCGGAGGGCACCGCCGGCGGTCCAGTACCTCTGGCACCCCTTACAGAAATGCCTCGGCTGATTAACGTTGTAATTGTTGAAGTAACAAAACTTGGTGTCCATGCTGTTACATCTGGGACACGGTATGATCTTGTCCGGCCTCTTCTCCGGCGTCGCCCGATCCTCCTCCACCACCTTCTGATCCCCTTTTCTTCCCCGATGCAACGTGATCGTAGCCCCAAACAGCTTTATCCCCTGATGATTATCTTGGCCGTTCTTCACATCGGCCATTCTGTATTCCACTCACAGAAAAATAAAGAAGAAGAAGAAGAAGAAACTATCCTTTATTATATTACTACTGCTCTTAACGAAGAAGGCTTTTGGTTTTGGGTTGAGGTTGATGAAGGAAGACGACGGAAGTACTCTATATATATATATATATAGGAGAAAAAAATAAAGGTGAAAAGCGCAAAACAGTTGGTGCGATCATAAACAGTTTTAGGGGGGAAAAAAAGGAAAAAGGGGGGAAAAGAAAAGGAGAAAGAGAGAGAGAGAGAGAGAGAGAAGGGGAAGAAAAGTGAGTGTGAAAGAAAGAAATAATAAAAAGAAGAAATAGTAGGACTAGTATAACGTAGGTGGAGTATAAAGTGACGGATTGGAAAAGGGGGGAAAAGGCCAAAAGGGCCTGAAAGTGGGAAGCTTTTTTGTCCACATCAGAAGTCTACGTCAGCATCATGCAGGGTGGGTCCCAATCCAGGTAGATCTCTTGCAAAGGGAATCAAAAGGCCAAAACCCGGGGGTTGTTATTAGTGAAATTCCATAATCAAAATTCAGAAGTTAGCTGTGTGATGGGATATTTCTATCCAAAAGCCTAACATTTGGCCAAAAGAAAAATCCAAAAGCCTAACCTATCTTTTTCTTTTCAAATTTGGAAAAAGAAAAAAAGAAGGTTTGTAGTATATATAAAGCCATTCGTCTGTGGAACATCAATCTTGACATTGGACGTCTATATTAAATTCACATGCGTGCAGTGCATTCACTTTTGTTCCTATACTACAGTGTTCCTGAATTAAAATGTATTCTTACATTTACTGAATTTAATGAGCCAGCATCTTAATACTTGTATTCACTTTTTATGTAAAGTAAATAAAACTCTATTCACTTATTTGTTATTGCAGTTAAATTTTAAATAAATTTCAACAAAATTTAAGAGAGGTTTGTATTAATCTTAAAAACAAAGAAAAATATTACACGGGGCTAAAGAGAATAATATAATTATTTAGACATATTTATCCCCGTTAGTAGTTTTACCAAAATTACATAGATTTTCCTTTTTTTTCTAAAGGGTGTGCAGAATTTCTCCAAGTTTTTAAGCGTTGACAAAAGTCAACAACTCTGGCTGAGATGATAAATTTTATAAGCCTTAAAGCATGCTTTCAAACTTTGACAACTAATTCTCACATGCCTTATTATTCCCTCCATCATCCATTTTGCCAGGATCAGAACAAGTCCCCATATGTCTTCCCCAAAAGAAAAAGAACAAGTTCCTATGGTCGAGGCTCGTGACTTTTGGCAAATGACCTGGAAATAAAGGCATATATTTATATATATTCTTCTTTTTTTTTTGGGATTAATTCTAAAGTAAGTTGCTTGTTGGGATAATGGTATTTGGTATTTACTTTTGACACGAAAGGCAACTTTTGCAGGTTCAGATGGATTTGTTGAGAAACTTTTTGCTTCCGGCGGCAACAAAAAATAATTATTAATATGTGAGGTCTTGTGGGTTTGGTTCCCTTTTCCCACGCAACGCTTTTGTTGATGTAACAAATATCTGTTGATATATACGCCATTAATATATTTCTTTACCAAATTAAAAAGGAATCTTTATGCATTCATCGTCATCATTACTTTCACATATTCATAATTAATTATTTGAAAAAGTGAGATCATCTCCAGCTCACTCTTCAACTTCTTAATGGGGACAATGCAACCTCATTTCTTTCTTTCTTTCTTTTTTTTTTGCTTTCTTTAATTATCTTCAAATATTGCACTTTCTATTCCTCCTGCTCCTCAAAGTCTCTCTTTCATTTTAAAAAGCAAAGACTTTTTGGCTAATATATATATATAGACAATTTTTTTAGTGGAGATTTGTCTTTCCATTGTGTTGAATTGTTAATCCTTATACATTCTTCCGATTCTCAATACATGAGCTAGTTAATGAGTTAATTTTGATAATAAATATAAGATTTTAATTCATTTTATAATCATATCTATTATTTTATCCCAAACTAATTTATGCAACTCATAAAATTTACATATAATCTAATATATTACATAAGAATATTTTAGAAAGCTCATGCCAGTATTATTATATATAAGTAATTTATTTAATTTTATTAATTTTTTTAAATTAGTTAAACAGTTCTTACGTCAAGAATCGAAGGTTAGAGATAAAGTAGTATGAATACAAAAAAATTTTGCCCACAGAATCTTTTAAAAAAAATCCAACAAAATTAAAATATGATTCCTATCAATCCAGGCTTAAATGAAGACTTCTAGAGATCAAAATATTTTATATAAGAGAAAAATTTATTTTATAATTATTTTATCACCAATTGATACGATATTCATGTTTAATTCAACGAATTAAGCCCAGTTGACAAGAGGGGGGCGGCATGTTGCTTGCTGGTTTATGTTTAGTGGCCATAAACAAATAAATAAATGGAGCAAGAAAAGTCTTTCTTGTCCTTTTATATCATCTTGCTGAGAGATTTCTTTTTTAATAATCATTTAATATTTTATTGACCATTTTAATGAGGCCGTTCCTCAGCTGGTCTAAGCAAGTTGGAAGCTTAGCTATATCAGGCTCTACTTTAGAAAAAGGATTAGGACATCATTAATTAATTAAGAAAGGATTAGGACATAATTAATTAATTAAGAAAGGAAAATTCATACTGATAAGTATGGTTGAACTATCATGATGTTAATTTTTCTTTTAAAAAAATGTTACAATCGGCTTACATTTTTCACGAGGTCTCTCTATCTTTAGAAGCTGTCAAAGTAATAAACTCGTGATGCCTTTTTTTTTTTTGTTAATTATTCTTAGGATCAAAGTTACTGAGAACTTATAAGGAATATGTTATTGAATGAATTTAACCAAAAAAAAAAACTATTTTAAATATTTTTTATAGTGATTTTTTTAACTTTTTCGGAAAATACAAAGAATAATTCTTTTTTTAGCTAGAACACAGTAATAAACTTAATGTTTAGAATGTTTATATTTTTTTCTTATGAATTTGGCTTGGCAATGTTCAAATTTGACAGGGTAGTAGTGGATACTGAATTCTCTATAAAATAAAAAGTTTTTTAAATTATAAATTTAGTTTAATTGGAGTTTTTAAACAAAATTTTCCTTTGTGCATTTACATGTGACACGCAGATGCCAATATAATATAATACAATATGTTAAAAGCACAAAAAAAAAGGATAGAAATATGAGAAATACACACACATATATATATATTCAAAAAAAATTCAAATGTTTGAGTTTGGTTAATAAAATCAATGAGACACTGGGGGTAGATTGGGATGCATAATTAATAATTACTACTATTATTTTAATGTAGATCATAGAGTAGTAGATTAATAGCATTTTCTGGTCAAAAAGATTAATAGCATTTTTAAAGAATTTTTTTTTTAAGGGCAAAACAAAAGAGAAGAAAAGAAGTTATAACAAAAGTAAATAGAAGCAAAGAAAGGACCGCAGACACAATACGTAAAAGCTGCCAAAACCAGCCCATATACTCTATGCTATGTTCCATCTCATTGATGTTCCAACTTGGATTACCCCAAAAGGAGGACCAAAACAAAAACAAAAAAAATTCTTTTCTTTTTTTTTTAAATCATCATTTATGCACCCATTACTCTTTATAAAATATTTAAATTCGCGACAGCAGTTTATATAATAATCATTTTCTTGAAATAGGAAATATTTCTAATAGTAAAATTAAAACGATTGATAAGAATCTTATATTATAAATTAATTATTGATACTCTGAGCTACCAAAAAAAATAATAATTACTGATTCAATAGTTTCAAAATAATTTAAACTTGATAAATTAATAATTTTTCTATTTTTTTCAATGTGTATATATCCCTCCATTAAAATATTTTTTTTATACATTATCTCTTCACGTTTCATCATTTTCTCAAATTAAAAACACCACCACCACCCACAGAATAGAAGATATGTTCTATTGAGTGCAAGTCTCCACTTGGCGGCTTGAAGCTAAAAATCTTCCAAACTAATCATGTATGAGGAGCTAAATAGAATATAATTTTTATGGAAGATTAAATTGAGAAGCAATATGAAACAAAAAAAGAAAAAGAAAAAGACAGTTCTTACATGTAACTAAATCGAAAAATACTCCACCTCGTACAGGACCGGAATAAAGTCTACAAAAGTGACAACGGCTTTGGACTATGCAAGATTAATTATTTATCATGTAAAAAAATGGTTTTAAAAATTATTTGTCAAGAAAGCATTTGGACACCAACAGGAGTTAGATCTAACGGAAGGGACTAGTCCCTCACCGCGTGGTGAACCAAGGTTTAAATCTCTACTGGGAGAGGTGTCTATATTTAGCGCCCGACAGTGCCTCGAATAGGATTGCCTCCAACCAGAGCCTCCAATTTGACATGTACTAGCAAATATCTATCATATGGCTGTCCCAAAATTGAAAAAGCTAATAATGATTTCAAATGAGATTCATGACTCAAAATTATCATATTTTCTTGCATTCTGTGTACAAATAGTTGCCTCGGACAGTAACAACCTAAGAATACATTGACTTAACCTGATTTCAAAACCTCCAAAGTAAAATCAACTAATGAAGGAATCAATACAAATGGGCGTAAAACTATATAAAACTAGCAGCTTCACTACAACTAGTTACAGATAAACAAGATTTATCCACACATACTTACATTCAGTACAAGGCCTCACGCAAACTTCTGGTTAGAAGGCAAGGACGACTCTTTCTTGCAGATCAACTGTTGTTACTATCAAACACATCAAGACTCACTCCAGCTATCATCATCCTCACCGTCATCACTTGAAATAACCTGAAGAGTTTCCCAGTTAAATTTATCACTCACATATGATAAGCAAATAGTTCACAGTCACTAGGCTCAGAGCAAAAGGAGTGGCAGAAGAAACGAGAAGATGATTGATGAAAACCTGGCGGATGGCATTTGCTTTTTTTAAAATTGCAGCAACTTTGTCGGTTGTAAAGGGACTTGTGATATCATTTGGCCTTTCTGTTGCTGCATGCTTTTGATTGGAGGACTGTGACAATAATATTCGAAGTTAAGAAGATGAAAATAATCATCATCTGCTGCTTAAATCATTAAGAATCGAAAATGAATGCTTTTCTTCTGATTTGACGAAGAAAATCTCCCTTTTCATTCATATCCTTTTCAATTCCCGCCTGATCTCCGTTCTTCTATTCATTCATGTTACAGACTGAATCCATGAATAATGGCAAAATTCCGGATCCACCACGGTTACCTAAACATAAAGCTTTAGAGAAAAAAATAATCTATAAGATGAATACCTTGTTCCTCAGTTTACACGGAATATTGTCATTAAACTCACGATCCTCATGATCAGTTGGATTTTGCTCCACCAGGGTAGGCCTGACTTGCAATGTAGATTCTGAATTATTTGGATCATTAGTTTGTTCAGAATCTTTTGACATGCAATTTTGTTTTTCATTCATCATGTCCGACCGCTGATTTGGAGGAAGAGGCGGTGCCAGTGGTATAGACTCAGAATGACCTTGCAATTTGAGATTATTATCGCCATCAGAATGCTTGTTACATTCTTTTCCAGGAACGGGGTCCATCGTATCAAAGCTAGGAAAATCAAGTAAATGCCCAGATAAAGAAGGTTCTGCACTATCCTGAGTAAGCATATGTTCACTTTCCAAATTGATATCAACATTGGTCACTCCTCTGACTTCTCGGGAACTTGACTTCGATTCAATTAATGATACTCTGTGAGATGAATCATATACCCCATCGCCACTGATATCAGGAGTATCATCAGACTCCCACTGATCGGAATTATAGTCAGAGTGAGGACTAAGACAATCATCTGACACAAAAGGAGTTGATCTACAAAAAGTATCGTCATCATCTGAATTGAAGCCCGACTCATGCACAAAAATGGAATGCTCTGGGACTAACCGGAATGAAGGAAACGTGTCCCTTGTACTCTCGCCATGATTACTCGCATCAGGAAATTTCAGTTTTAGTTTGAAGGTCTCAAACCCATCAACAGGACAGAAGGATATTTTCATATGTTCAAGTGGAGGAGAAGGAGGTGGTGAACAGATAGGATAATCATAACTAACTTTCTCTTTGAAGGTTGTCTCAGGAAGTGACTGCTGTACAGTGCTATTTTGTCCACTCTGCTCCAATAAGCCAGTTTTCACAGAATTATCAGGTCCAGATTTTTCATCAAATGAAACGTTCCGATAAAAGCTATTTATAAGTAATTTATGACCAAGCCCAAACAGCAGAGGTGAATTTAGCCCACTTCCCTTAATAGGTTCAGTACAACCTGTGTGGGTAACTGGGACAGCGGTTCCAGGGGTGGATATCCTGTTTTTATCAAAATCTTCATTATCTTGACCATGTCTACAGCTCTGCCAATGACAGTTAGATGTCTTTCCAGAGACACAAGAAGCTTGATCATCACACTGTGATACTAAGCATCTAGAACTTGGTTCCTTTTTTTGATTTAGTTCAGCAACCTTTGACAAATCTTCTTCCTCTCTATATTCATCGCTCTTTGACATTGAATTATGACTCGAAACACCATCTGTATCATTTGTTGAAGTCATGAGCCCATGATTTACAGAACTCGGCGTGATAAAATCAGGTGGTTTTGATGGCTCAAGTCCCAATAATCCACCATTAGTCCATAACCCAATTGAAGGATCACTAGCAGGCTCTGAAGGAGTCTCTTTACTTTTGTAAACATTACTGTCAACGCTATCTGCTTCTTTGTCTGGTAAATCAGAATTTTTAGAACCAGATGATATATGAGTTTCAATGGATGCTGACACTATATCATGACGAGTATGATCATCTCCCAAGGGATTGGTGCCTCCCAAGTGGTTCGAAACAGAATTTCCCTCAATGTGAGGCAACTGTTCATGGATGGTACTCACAGAACCATGAGAGTCAGCTAAATTCATGGTCCTTTCAAAGTTAACAGGATCACCTGATGGATCAATTTCAACGGATGCTGATACAGAATCATTAAGTGTGGGGTAATCCCCCAAGGGATTGGTGCCTACAGAGCAATCTAAAACAGAGTTTCTGCATACGTGAGATACCTGTTCATAGATGGTACCTTGAGGGGCAAGAGAATCAGCTGAATTCTTGATCGTTTCTGAATTAACAAAACCATCTGGTTGAACATTCTCACTGGATGCTGACAGTGAGTCATTATGAGCATCGTCAAAAACAGAATTTCCACAGATATGAGGCACCTCTTCACCGATAGGATACTCAGAGGCATCACTTAAACTCTCAGTCCTCTCTCTGTTAACGATAACATTTGATTGAACAGGCTCAATGGACACTGACACTGCATCATCGAGAATATGAACATCATCTAAGGAATTGGGGCCTGCGGAGCAGTCCAAAACATAATTTGCAGGTTGCTCAGGCTCCTGTTCATGGGTGGGAGAGACATGAGAATCAACTAAAGTCATTTTACTTTCTAGGCTTACAGGAGCATTTGATGGAACAGTTTCAGTGGATGTTGACACTGGGTCATCAAGAGAACAGGTAGCATCCAAAGGATTTGGGCCCGCAGAGCAGTCCAAAACAGCATTTCCACATGTGTCAGGAACTGGTTCATGGATGGGGCTCCCAGAGTCACAAGGAGCAAGTAAAATCTTAGTCCTTTCAGGAAAATCTGATTGAACTGGATCTCTTAAACTACTTAAATGTCTCTCTGATATGTGAGGAGGAATTTCTTGCAGGGTTTCAGGGAAATCAAAACCTCTTTCTTTGTTCAATGAAACATTGGACATAGTATGAGCAAAGACATTGTAAAAATCATGGTCTAGCACAGTAGAAACAGCTCCCACTTCATTTTCCATGACCTCAGAAGACAGATGAGACATGAACTCCTCTGCCTCTTGTTTTGTTTCGCAATCAAGATCATTTTCAGATTCCGATTCGATGGTGTTAAGAGCATCCAAGTAATTATCAGGTTCGCTATCAGTTTCATCTGTTTGGACCCTGCTGGAGAGTGGTTTTAGGTTTCTTTCCTCTCCATATAAGGAAACACTTTGATCACTATTTTCTGCGGCAACAGGTTTATCTTCATGCATATGTAGGTCCTGTATTTCATCAAGGACCTCTGGAATTTCATCTCTATCGTACCACTGACTTTCAGAACCCACTATCTCTTCCTTTTCATCCCATGTAAGACCAGCAGAAGTAGAGGCAATTTGCTTGTCGAATGAACCTTGGGAAAAACTATAATCTATAGTAGAAGATGGAGACTGAAAAGCATCAGTTTTCTGTGTCAACATAGAAGAGGGTGATTCCTTGCATTCCTGCTCATCAAATTGCACAGAATTACATCGCTGAAAACCACATTCAATGTAGCCAGCATCAGCCCTTGAATCAACAGAATAAGAATGATCCTCCGGATCTGATTCCAGCTCCATGTCAGCTGTTTGTGAGGAAGAAGCTTGCCCGTCAACATGTGAAGGAAACTGCACTCTGTGAATCATGCATCATCATCACGTGATTGATTATTAAGAATTAGTAACATGACATAGATGTATATATCTGCAATCCATGAAAGGATGTTGTACCTGCTGTCATTGTTATGCATTTGTTCACCCTGCAGAGTTTCTCCATTTCTTCGTGACAAACTTTTCCTCTCTCCAGCATCAGCTCTTGGATCAACAGAATAAGAACGATCCTCCAGATCTGGTTCCAGCACCACATCAGTTGTCTGAGAGGAAAAAGTTCGCCTGTTGACATGCAAAGCAAATTGCATTCAGTCAATCATACATCATCATCATGTGATTGATTATTAAGAATTAGTAACATGACATATATATGATATATATATCTGAACTCCATGAAAGGATGTTGTACCTGCTGTCGCTGCTATGCATTTGTTCACACTGCAGAGTTTCTCCATTTCTTCGTGACAAACTTTTCCTCAGTCCAACATCAGCTCTTGGATCAACAGAATAAGAAAGATCCTCCAGATCTGGTTCCAGCACCACGTCAGTTGTTTGAGAGGAAGAAGTTTGCCTGTTGACATGCGAAGCAAATTGCATTCAGTGAATCATACATCATCTTCATGTGATTGGCTGAGAATAAGTAACATGACATATACAATATATATCTGCAATCCATGAAAGGATGTTGTACCTGCTGTCATTGCTATGCATCTGTTCATCCTGCAGGGTTTGTCCATCTCTTCGCAATAAACTTTTCCTTTGTCCAACATCAGCTCTTGGATCAATAGAAAAAGAATGATCCTCCAGATCTGGTTCCAGCACCACATCAGTTGTTTGGGAGGAAGAAGTTCGCCTGTTGACATTCGAAGCAAATTGCATTCTGTGAATCATACACCATCATCATGTGATTGATTATTAAGAATTAGTGACATGACATGTATACGTGCGCAATCCATGAAAGGATGTTGTACCTGCTGTCATTGCTATGCATTTGTTCATCCTGCAGGGTTTGTCCATTTCTTCGCAATAAACTTTTCCTCTGTCCAACATCAGCTCTTGGATCAATAGAAAAGGAATGATCCTCCAGATCTGGTTCCAGCACCACATCAGTTGTTTGTGAGGAAGAAGTTCGCCTGTTGACATTCGAAGCAAATTGCATTCTGTGAATCATGCATCATCATCATGTGATTGATTATTAAGAATTAGTGACATGACATATATACGTGCACAATCCATGAAAGGATTTGTACCTGCTGTCACTGCTATGCATTTGTTCACCCTGCGGAGTTTCTCCATTTCTTCGCAATAAACTTTTCCTCTGTCCAACATCAGCTCTTGGATCAATAGAAAAGGAATGATCCTCCGGATCTGGTTCCAGCACCACATCAGTTGTTTGTGAGGAAGAAGTTCGCCTGTTGACATTCAAAGCAAATTGCATTCTGTGAATCATGCATCATCATCATGTGATTGATTATTAAGAATTAGTAACATGACATGTATACGTGCGCAATCCATGAAAGGATGTTGTACCTGCTGTCACTGCTATGCATCTGTTCATCCTGCAGGGTTTGTCCATCTCTTCGCAATAAACTTTTCCTTTGTCCAACATCAGCTCTTGGATCAATAGAAAAAGAATGATCCTCCAGATCTGGTTCCAGCACCACATCAGTTGTTTGTGAGGAAGAAGTTCGCCTGTTGGCATTCGAAGCAAATTGCATTCTGTGAATCATGCATCATCATCGTGTGATTGATTATTAAGAATTAGTGACATGACATATATACGTGCGCAATCCATGAAAGGATGTTGTACCTGCTGTCACTGCTATGCATTTGTTCACCCTGCGGAGTTTCTCCATTTCTTTGCAATAAACTTTTCCTCTGTCCAACATCAGCTCCTGGATCAACAGAATAAGAATGATCCTCCAGATCTGATTCCAGCACCACGTCAGTTGTTTGTGAGGAAGAAGTTTGCCTATGGACATGCAAAGCAAATCGCATTCTATGAATCATACATCATCATGTGATTGATAATTAAGAATTACTAACATGACACATATATCTTTGCAATCCATGAAACAATGTTTTACCTGCCACGTTTGCTATGCATTTGTTCACCCTGCAGAGTTTCTCCATTTCTTCGTGATGGCCTTTTCTTCTGTCCAACATATTTCCCATAATTACCAAGACATTGGTTGAAGAGTATCTATATATCTAATAATCCTATTAGAAACCATGGCTCATGAATATATTTTGAATTTGATTAGATATATTTCGCTCCGTGCATTTTGCAGAGGCCTGCCTCTAGTTTGGATGAAGTACAACAAGAATGCTCCAAACAGTAAAGTACCTTGCTTCTACTAGTTTTCCTAGATCTTTCAGTTTTCTCGCTGCGTGCTTCATCTGAATCTGCTGGTGCTCTCTTGAAGAAAGTTGGATCTGAATATCTTCTTAAACAAGATCCTGGGCCACCAGTATCGAATCTGAATGATATCAAGGAATTAGTTCATCAGCTAGAAATTGAACTAAATTTTAGATGGTTTACTTGACTTTGTTAACAGTAGTTACCACCTTCTAACACCCGGTGGGGGAGTAAAGGAGAAAAACAGGACAAAGCAAGTTTCAGGAAAATGACTAAATGAACAGGAAAAAAAATTAGTATAGTTGTTTGACATTACTATGCAGAAACTAATTCAAGATGTACTATTAAACCATACTAACCGTGTTCAAACCAAAAATGAGAGGACAGAGAAGTCAAATGAACATGTGACGTACTTATCAAGCAAGTGCAGTTGTGGAGGATCCCGGCATTCTTCATATGAATCCACAATAAATTGTGGCAAGTCATTGTAAATGAAATGATTTTGTTCAGGTTTTGCACGACTGTGCCATTCACAACCTGAAAGGGCAAATGCTCTCATTAAGTTCTCCCATATTATCTAGATTCTTGATATTAAAATGTTTATCAAAAGGCACACTGAATTTCCAAAGAATATACTTGGCCCAAAAAAACCAAAGAAGAAGAAGAAGGAGAATTCAAAGAATAAAATGAAGAATATAATAGCCCATATGCTAGAATGGGCGACCTATACTTAAAGTTAGTTAACAGAAACAATGTGAAGTTATTCTACTGCCACTTGAATGCACAAATATGTGCTGAACGAGCCAAATTGTAATTCGAAGAGGCTCAAATGGTACTCTTAGTGATATAGCATGCTTCAGAGGCAAAACTTTCACAGTTTGAGTTTGGGCTTCTTGCACAGTTGTTATATGCCTTTTGGCTTCCATAACAACAAAACCAAAAATTACTAACAAGTGTTGATCTAAAATCTAACGCACGGTACCTGAAAGCAACAGTCAAGCAGCTAACTAACTAGTAACAACAAAAAATTAACTACTTAACTCTTATTATCCCCAACAACACATAAAAATATCACCTGGAAAGGAAACACAACTTTCTGCAATATATAAAATTCCGAAATAAGTTTAAGACCATTGTCTAAAAGAGAAGTTATGCCAAATCGAAATCAGGCAAATGCGGTTATAACTCATATGATATGTACCGGCTGTGTAAGCAAAATGTATGTGGCTTGTTTGTGTCAATATGGCCTTTTCCAGTGGAGGAAGAGCAGCTTCAATATTTTGAGCACGAAGCATCAATTTATGGCTCCGAGAAGCTGTGGTAACTACTTGCTCCTGCAGGCCATGAAAAACCTCCGCTGCAAAGCTTCATTCATGAAGCTTGCTAGTTAGACGTTGACACAAATTTCCAAAAGGAGCACTAGTAGTACATGAGATTCGATTGGCAACATAAAGTTAATAGAAGACATAGATTCCAGAAGCAAGTATAACACTGCCATAATGATAGGAACTTTTTATAATCATACTATAAAGTGAGGCGCATTCTGAAAAGGAGATAGAGGATAGCAGAGGAAAAGACTGGGCATGAGGAGAGAAAAAATAGAGAGAAATATCCGACACAGAATAAAGTTAGTTATTCTGCTCAATATTCTAAACCAAATTCATAAAATTTCAATAATTATTTATTTATCAGACAATAGATAGTAGACAGTAGACTGGATTCCACATATGTTCAGTCCCATTATAATCAGGATCAAATATTTTCAACTTCCTTTGAGGTCCAATCTGATGTGCATCACAAAGGGTGTACTCACAGATAGAGACCAAAATTGATTGGCAGTTCATCTTATAACTGCGATCACCAGAACTTCTGTTTTTCATCGAACAGGTGGTTTGCATGTACATATCTGAATGCTGTTTCTGTGCAATTTCTTCGTGCTATCTAATTCCTCTCATTTGAAATAGACAGCACAGTGCCACTCTTACCGAAATCACAGTAGAATTGCAATTTTTCACATTATTCTTCCTACTGACCATTGCCCCCGCTGAACGTCCGAAATTGTTAAGAGACGAGAAACAGACTGTGCTAATCCAAAAGCAGCCAAAGTATTTGATGAATTGGATATTTGAACTGATAAGCCATCCAACACGCTTAGGTCCCTCAAATGAAACGGCTCAAAAAACTGACAATTTTTCATCGTATCAACTGAAATTTAACCCAAGCCAAGACAGATATCAACTTCAACGACTAGGTGACATTTTAGTTCCTCTCTGACTACAACATCCGCCATATTTGCTAGTAGCTAAACTACCTTTCTCGTAAAGCGGTAACCTACAACTCAGATTAAGTGTCGAAATTGCAGAAATTTATGACCCCATTTACCAATGAAATACCAAAAGGGTTCAAATTTCACACACAGTGCACCTGTTTGAGCAAAAAGAGAATTTCATAGAGAAGATTAAAGAAAACATACTCAGCAAGATCACCCAGTTGCCTCAGGATCCCCACAAGGCCAGCCACAACGACACCATCCAGCACAGCCTTTGGATCTTCCCTGCTGGTCCTTTTGTACAGCTCGGGCCGCCCCAGGCCGTACTCATTCCGAACCTGCACCCTTACTAGCGGCATATTCTCCCCCTCTCCCTCACACACAGAAGCTGAAGCACAGAACTTTGCTAATATGTAATGAGTAAATGAATGTGAGCTAGCAATAAATGAATGAAGATGACGGGGGGAAGGTGGAAAATTCTTCCAACTTTAGAGAGAAAAAGAGAACGGATGAGGAGGGGTGGGAGCAACTTAACTGCCCAAGAGAAGAACAGAGAGTAAGGAACGGGCTATGAGAATCGGTTAGCCAGACGGAGAAGGAGATTGCCAACTCCGCAAGCCATTCTTGAACGGAAATCGCAGTTAGTACAGTGAGAGCAACAGCGCCTTCAAAAGCACCAAAATAGCCTCCAACTTTGAGAGAATGACTTGGGTGTCCTAAAGTGGTGGGACAACCTTGAATTTGAAATGACGGTTCAGGGCCGGAGCTTCCAGCGGTACCGATGAGCTGCGGGAAGCGACGGAGGCACACCTAAACACAAAGATTTGGTCAAAATGGTAAATTGACATCACCGAAATCAATACGGTAGATGAACTGGGAATTGCATACGCACAGAGACACACTGCTACAAGAAAGTGTTAGAGATAATTGAGAGAAAGTGATGTTCATGAACATGAGGAAAAAAGGTGCTTCTAGTGACAAATGTATCAGATTCAATGGTGATTATAGCTTCTAAGGATCAGATCGATCCACAGATACGAAGTGGGGAAAGATCTTAATTATGTAGAGCCATTCTTGATGTAAGTACGCCATGAGGGGGAAAAAAATACGCCCGTTGCCTAAATGAATAAGCATATAAATTGAGTTTGATAGTGATGTAAAATTATTTAATAATTAGAGTATTTATATTGCAGTAAATTGTTGTTTAACAACTTATCAACACAGACATCTATAAATATGCTTAAATTTGTTTTGATTATCTTCTAATTTTATTGGATAAAATTAATGTTATCATTATAATTTAAAATTAAAATATTTGTTTGCAACTATCTAATTTTCTTTCTTAATCTTTTGCTTTATTTAATATTTAACGTTTATGTTTATCTTGAATTGATATTGTTATGTTTATATTTTGTAATCAGATTAGATTAATTGAATTGAAGCTTCAATAATGGGACAAAATTTTCAAAGAAATCCAAATATGGGAGGACAAATTCTCTGCAAATCTGGGCACTATGCTGCCAAGTCCAGTAAACGGCGCATGGCGACGGTGAATAAATAATTTCTGAATGCAGAAATGCGGATCTTTGTCTTTTAATTATTTATTATTATTAATATTCTGAATACATTCAGGTTGTTTTAGCTGATGTAATGAAGAACACTAATTTATTTGCTGGCATCATTCATACATTAAATTTCAGGTTTTCGGGAAACAAGGGGTCATATGTGTAAATGTTAATATTGTTAACACTCATATTCTTACTTATAACATTGCATATTAATAAATACATTAAATGATAAAAAAATTTAATTTTATCTTTATTAATTTTTTTTCTCTATATTCACGAATCATCCTTCAATCTTTTCTTTTTTTTCCTTTCCAATAATAATTAAATAAAATTAAAAATAAAAATAAATATTAAACATACTGCAAGTGATTCATATTTAAGACCAAAATTTGTCTATTAGGTAACTTATATTTAAGATGGGGAGGGTAATATTTTGAATAAAAGAAAGAGAAGGATATTATTATAATATTGAAAGACAGGTTGTTTGAGTGTTTATAGGAAGAATCTTTGCCATGATTAAAGGTTTTGCTGACTGCAACATAGCTAAAGAAGATTAATTGTTTCCTATATATTCATTCACTTTTTCTGGGCATCATTCAGATTTCAGACAATTCCAGAACTTGAATGTGCCACTGCTTTTCATTTCTTTTCTTTTCCAGTGGCTTTGATTAATATATAATTCCTTCTTTTATGCGATAAGCATGCTTTGTGATCATTAATTTGGGAAACCAGAAAATTAAAGCATATACCATATAAATCATTCTCTTAGTCATATTTTCATGAGAAAGCTGGCCATTTTAATCTAAAATTAAATAACATCACTCTTATAACAAAATGAGAAAATCATATACATTAAACAAAGGAAAAATAAAACCACACAAGAACTCTCCAACAGTGAAAAAGAACGCAACAAAGCGAGACCCTTGGCTTTCTTAAAGAGTGATCAAAACCTGCAACTTTAAGAGATGACACGAAGAGACAAGATAATTTTATCAAACCTTCCAGCACACTACTTCATAATAATCTAAAAAACCCTTTATACAGATTTTAGAACTACAAGAGCTAACAGACACAAATTAATTAAACTTGTATATTTTCTATTACATTCCTGCGAATTAAATTACGTGATGGCTACAAGGCTATCTTGTATTGTGGGAATCAAAGAAGTTTGAGGTTGCGTCGACATGCTGTATTGAGACGGCACAGGATACAGAAGCTTGTCTCTTGCGATGATACATGGAGGTGACTCTGATCTAAATTACTAATGTCGATCTCTTTCTACTCATGCAGCTAATAACAAGAGAGTATATGTTCAGTGATTTTAATTTTCTGTCCCAAAATAACAAACCAACTAGATTCCAATTCCATCAGTCTTTTCTCTGTGCTTATTGTTACTTAGCTTCAGTATTGACTGTTACAACCATTATTTACGAGTCAGTCTGATGCAGGCTTCAAGTAGCATATATAGTCCAAGTGTAAGAAATCTAAGCTATAAAACATGGGCTAGCTCTAAGAATGAATGTTTCGCCCAATCAGGCCCAAATCGCATGCCTAATGGTGAATTCGGTGGTTTGATTTCTTGAGGACTAGCTTGAACCTTTGCACCGAGAGAGACGGCAAATACTTTATAAAGGGGTCAAAGAATCCACCATAAAGTGAGGGCATCCTCCTGTATGTTGGATGTCTGCAAGTAATGATATGTACTATATACGTTACTAGCTAGGTAGTAATTAAAGTTTAAAATGATACTATAAAGTTTTAAGAATATTTCCCCCCTTTCATGGACGAGGTCACATGTATAAAAGATATAAGCTCGTCAATCACAGCCCCCTTATTCAGAAAAATTGGAGTGTGATTTACGAGGTCTAGGGCTTTTTCTTCAATAAGCGATTTGAATAATTGAATTTGGTGGAAATTTGTTGATCATTGATTACTATGCATTTGTCTTTATGGATAAAATGCTGATATATGGCGCATTTAATTTCCACTGTTGGCGAAGAATATATTAATACTGTGTTCTTATGATGAAATGATAAATAATGACGATCAACAAAGACATATATTCCTGGGATGCAGAACATGCATTTGTCTGAGAAAGACTAGGCAGACTGCGAGATTTAGATTACAATTTGGGTTTTCAAAATTTCCCTTTTCAACTAATCACAAAGAAATGGGGAATATAAGAAGGGTGCTCTTGTTTGTAATTTTAGCAACGCAGCTTTGGCCTTCTACTTTTCTCCCTTGCCCATTTGAGTCTCCGTTATGTTTCTTCTTTTCAATTAAAAGGAAAACAAGTCTTTAATTTCACTCCACAACAGAAATAATAGAATAATGAAACAAGTCTAGTTAATCCCATAATACTTTGTTTTTATAAATAATACTTTCGCCTTAGGGATATACTCCTCCGGTCCTTATTATAAGACCCAATTTGACTTTTTATTTGGTCCTAATTATAAGACCCAATCCATTTTGTCTCTTATATTTATGCATTTTTTTCCAAGATAATCCTTCTAATAATGATAGTTTTAGCCAATATACTTAATTAGCAAGGATATTTTAGGAATGACAATACTTATTTATTATAAATAACCAACTTAACTTACTTCCTTAATCTCCTCAAATAAGTCAATTGGGTCTTATAATTAAGACCGGAGGAGTATATTCAAATTAAATTACATGATTATACTTTGTCCCAAATGCATTAATTGGTATATATTTGGAATTTGGAAGCTATTATATATCCTTTAAGAAATTCAATCTCGAGTTATCATTCATTTTGGCGCTTTAAGTTCATATTTTACACTAGGACGTACATTTAACCCAACTTGCAAATTGTAATGCTGAAACATTTTTTCCATCAAACATATGGGCCTCCTAGTATATCTGCACAATAGTGCTTCTTGGCTTTAGCTCTTGGCAAGCAGGGGACAATATTTCAAATTGTTGTTAATAATGGCTAATTTGATGAGCATCTTGAGGAATATAGACATTCTCAACAGCCTGCTAAATTTGAAGACATTAGGAGGTAGATTTCTTTTTTGACTACAGTAATAACTAAACTCGGTTAGGAAACTTAAAGATGAAAGTTAAAATGAATTTGGCATGTAAAATAAAATAATGAATAAAAGTAAAAAATGCATATAAGATGAGACAGGATGATCCGATGGCCAAGTTATATCATTGTATTTGAGTTTGTCATGATTTTACTACGTCCCGTCCCAACCTGATCAGGATAGATAAATGTGGGTCTCGGATCTCCGTGCACCGCTAACACCCCGTTTAAAAAAATAAGGAATAGTAGTATAGTAATATGGAAAAGTGTGAGAAGGGAAATTAAAGTTGAGTGGTGAAGGAGGAATAAATAAAGCGTTGAATATAAACAGGAGGGGTGTAGACTCTGGAGGAGTGAAAATGAATATTAAGGAGACAATATCTCCAAGAGTGGGGGCCATTTCACGTGGATTTGCTTAATATTCTTTAGTTAGGTTAAGGGGTTTAATTTATTAAATTAAAGGCATCTAATCTCTAATTAAATCAAACTGTGTCTACTTTTCTAGTTCTATTTATAAGTTACTTTTAACATATTTCACACGGACCAAAAAAAATCTTAAACTTTATTAACTCTCATTTAAAATTTAATAACGTTTCAATTTTATTTTTGTTTAATATATATTATACCTTATGTAAACAAAGTGAACACAATAATAAATGAAGGGCAAGATTGCACATCCATCAAAAAATTTTCTCAGTATCCTATAAATAAGATTAAAAATATCTTCTTTTTTTGTCTTATAAATAGGACTAAGAGAGTACATTTTAATTTTGAATAGCCCAACCAGCGCCTCCATCTCCACTATACCTTCTCTCTCTCTTTCTTTTCTTTTGTGTGTTTCTTTTTTATAAAAGCAATTCATATTGAGGGCACATTGGCCATATGTGTGTGTCTTTGCTTTTCTATCGACCTCTCAATAATATATATTCGATACTACTCCCGGATCCTCAATATAATATTTAATTTATAGTTTGGACTACAAACTATTTACTGAAAATAGTGTTTTAATTTATAATCCTGTTAAAAATTGTCTTCACTGCTTTGCATATAAATCCATTTAAATTATTTTAATTTGTTATTATAAAATAGATTTTTTAAGGTTTTAACAAAAATTGGATAAATTTGTTTTAACGTAAGTTATTTTATATGTTTCTGGGATAAAAATTAGATGCAAAAGATGCTCAGAGAAACTATTTATTTAACAAATGTGAGATAGATATCCTCACAGCATCCAATTAAATTAAGCTCTCCAATCCTTAAAATGACAAACATTATGGTCTGTTTTAATTTAATATGTTAT